GGGAGGCTTCAGCCCCAAAGCTCCTCGTAGATCCGCCCGTGCAAAGTTTATATTCCTTCATAATTATTTCCACTGAAATTAAAGGAGGATGTGACTATGGTTCGACAAGCTTTTATGCGATTCTCTTTCATTTGATACTTCTTCAAAATCGATCATTATCAACATTTTTGTGATTTTCAGATAAAAATCTAAAGCTTTGATGAAAATTTGAAGCTTAAAAGTTTTATTTTTTGACTGCTACGAAAGTTCGTATTTCTGTTTTTTCAGAGGTGCTAAATACAAATCTCAACTCTGTTTCTCCTTAAAGAATTATATATTTCAGTATATCATTAAGTATATATTCCTTCATAACATTAAATTTTTTAGTATGTTAGTAAATTCTTTGTGAAGTGTCCTTATGTGCTGGGCAACTGATGGCAGGTGGATATCAGAAGAATGTAGGGTTTTGTTAGTCACGTAGCAAGATGCTTTAGTAATGATTCGTAGTATTTTTGACTGGAAAGTTTGAAGTTTTTGTAAGTGGGTCTGTTTAAGTATACAGTATATCTGTGAGAAGTATGTCCATGTAAATGTAGATATATTAAATAGATGATTAAATTTTAATTAATTTTAGCGCTAGATTAATGAACACCACGCAAAAACTAACGTAGATCACGTGCTGATTCCAGGTCGAAGATTCCCCACCTGTGCCTAAAGGTGAACGTCCACTACAAAGGTTGTTTGCGACATCTTGCCTAAGTATTAGTCCACTTAGGATTTTTTTTTTCTATTTTGCTTTTCAGAAAATTTGAATATCTTTCAAATATCTGTAATTTTCCTGAAGATTTATAGATCTAGTTATCATTAACTAAACAAATGTAGACAGATCGGTTCCACGGGTACATGTACACAATACTTTCAAAAACGTTTACTAAATTATTACACTATATCTTACAATTCTAATACACTATATACTGTAATGATTTTTTTTTTATATTGTAATTTAGTTACCTTGTATATTATTAATCATAAAAGTATATATATTTTTGTTAGGTATGTGCAAATAATTTTTTTTTATCTTTATAAATTTTTCCAGCTTATTCGCCGGGCTTAGATTATCCAGAGTGTTTCAGGGTTAAGTGGCCAGGGTTAAGATTTTCATTGTTATGAATTATTTACGTTATATTAAGTAAATAAAACTTATTTATTTGTTCCAACTACTTTATTAATTAAACGTAAACATTAAATTGATATTAAATGTTGTTCAAAGTGATTTCCTTGAGCATTAAGACATCTTTCTTCAACAGCAGCAGTGGCAGAACGGCACTGGATATGTGTTATTGTTTCACAAGATCAAATTATCCTTCTTCGTAAGGAATTAAGGTCATTTACCGGACTTGCATAGACTTTTTGTTTAATGTCACCTCAAACAAAAAATCCTGTGGTCTCAGGTCTGGATCCTCAGGTCTTGGACGGTCAATTCGTCTCCTAAACAAAGCGTTTGCGGACATACCTTCATTTTGAACTACATTTAATATGAATGTTAATGTTACATTTAATTAATAATATAGTTAGAACAAGTAAATAGGTTTTATTTATTTTATATACCGTAAATAATTCATAACAACCACAGGCGGATCTACGGAGGGGAGGGGGCTTTCGGGCTGATGCCCTCCCACCCCCAAAATGGTAAAATATAACCATGTTTTACAGATAAAAATATTAAAAATTATCTCTTAAAGTATTCTTGTTCCTGTAATTACATTTAATAGTACTTCAGGAACCATTTAAACACCATTTCATATAGGTAATTAATTTCTTTATTTTTTTTTTCAAATTAATTATCGTTATATGTATATAAAAAAAAAAAATCTTTCGGGCTGAAGCTCCCCCCAAAATTAAATCCTGGATCCGCTAGTGATAACAACGAAAATCTTTATGTGCGAATATCTCCTAAACAAAGCGTTTGGGGACATACCTTCAGAGGAATATTTTTTCTTGTTTTGAGGTACTTAGTTCATTTTTGCAGTTTGGCCACTTAACTCTGAAACACCCTGTATATGTAATATATAGTCAGGGTAAGCGTTGCGATCGTGAACATTTTCGAATCTATGTTTTCAACGGAAATACACGTTTTGAGGTCTCCTGAGTCAAATAACAAAGTCCCACAAAATGGTCTGTGTGTATGTATATATTTAAGATTTTCTAAAAAACAGCTCTAACGATTTTGCTTAAACTCAGTATATCAGTGTATTATTAAGCAGTTTTTAATATAATGAAGATTTTATCCTCATTGATGTTCTCTAATAGGGCTTAAATGGCTAATTTTCAATATTAGCCAGCCACCTATAAAGAACCTTTGATTTTTTTTTATTTGAAGTAATTAACCATTTCAAATTAATCTTTGATATAAAAAATAATTAAATATAAAATATGAAAGACTTTGATAATTAACTAAAGGAGAAATAAGAGATCGTAACGGATAATTGTAATGGATGAACCAAAGAAATACGAGCGCATCCGAGCTCGCCAGAAAGATTAAAACAGGCTTCCATATGTAGATCTCAGCGATAAAAAAAATTAAAATTTGTATATATTAGCGTAATTAAACAAATAAAAATGCCTACAATGAAATGTAAATAAATATAGCGTCTATAATTTTTTCTTTCAATTCCCCTTTGTCTGAAAATACTTATTTCTGCTAAGAAGATGGTGGTAAGAGAAAGTCGTGTGGTGCGCGCACCCGATTTATTGTACTACAGATAAGGAATGTAATTTGTTTCTCGATGTTGGAATTTTTCGAATCTTAGAACATTTTCTTTTGATCCACAAAAATATAAATTTTATCGCCTATAGTTGTTAGTGAAACAACATAGCACAAGCAGACATTAAAACCAAGACCCCTTGTACATTGGTCAATATTACACCAGAACAATCTATAAGGAAAAAAAGAACCCTTCAACAGATTCTCAGTACTGAGTGATGTAACTCATAATGTAAACAACACATCCCATTTCAAGAATTGTTTGGTCTAAAATTAACCAGAGGTGAGTCATGAGGATTGAAAGTTACTGGATGATGGAAGTTAAATTAGACGAACAGGTCAATAACACTTGCTGCCACTTTCAACACTAATTATTGTATAGACATTTTTAAGCTAGATCCCTCTAGTTAAACAATTCGGACAAAATAAATGGAATTATTAAGTTATTATGATGTTATGTAATTCAATTTCCAAGAAAGCTTTTTAAATAACGAAGATATTGAAAAACTCTCATTCGTCATTTGGTTGAACTATAAGATTAAAATTTAATGTAAAAAAAATTAGTGAGATAATCAAATTAAAATATCAATGTATACATCTTTAAATAGAAACATATTGAGTCATGTTCAACCATTAGATGAAAAAACTACATAAGTAATTAATTGGCCCATATGAACAATTAGCATAGTATATTAGTGAGTGAAAATAGAAAAATGTAATAAATTATGATAGAAAATAATTAATATTTTTTTTGCAGGAATAAAATGGTTCATTATTTTTTATATATAATAGACTCAAGCCAATCATTGGTCTGAACCAGTGTCGCCACCTTTATTGTTATATTTATTTATGCTTTATAAATTATTTACATTAATAAAATATATATCAAATTTATATAATTAATAAATAAAAAATATAAAACCAAGGTATGTGCTTTAAACCATATGATAGAAGTGAAAACATCAACAAGAAGAGATTAATAAAATGGAATAGAAATTATAACTAATAAATCGATAGGTCAAAAGTCTTCACACTAAATTAAGTGTATAATGTTGTGATTTCACAAAGAGAAATTTTTTTTTTAATAAATAGACGATGTATGCCTAATTATTTAAATATACTAGATCTAGAGTTACTAAACTACAATAAATGTATTTAAGGTTATAAACATATATTTAACCATGTATGAAATATTTTTATATTTCACTTCTTCTTTCATATACTTACGAAGAAATAGTTTTTTAAACAATGCCATTGCCTTGATTTAGTGGATTTTAAATACTTTTTTTTCAAACTTAAAAATAATTTTAAAATTTTACATTTAGTTAAAAAGTTTCATTTAATTTCCTTGGAAACGTGTGATTTCCGTTAAACAATATTAATTTTCAAAGATTGTTATTTATAATTTTTCCTAACTCTCCATTACTTTCTATATTAGATATTGTTTTCTCTTAAATGATCTGCTTCCAACGATATATTACACATATACCTTCTGACTATTATTTCCAGATTCATTTTCGACCTGGATAAGCATTTTTCTTTTTTTCTCATTTATTCAATTATCAAATTCTTTCAAGAATAATATTTAGAATTTTTTCATAACTCATAACAATAAGACATAGTTAATTATTTAAAATAAACCAAATCAAAGGTGCTTTGGAAGAGGACATGTTGAACATTGGAAATTTAAGCCCTGTAAAGTTACATCAATGGGGATAAGACGTAGCTGATATTAAATATCACTTAATAATACACTAATATACTGTGTTTAATCAAATTCGTTAGAGCCGTTTTTGAGAAAATCATAAAAATATGTAACATCGTTGATATAAAGTACTACTTTCTAGTACCTTAAATATGCAATTTCAGTTTCGCACAACTTTTCGTTTTTGAGCTAGACTGTTCACATAAATACACACACTCAGACTATTTTGTGGAACATGGTGATTTCGAATCAGAGGACCTCAAAAAGTGTATATATGTTGAAAACATAGATTTAAAAATTTTTATGATCACCATACTTACCCTTACTATACTATATAGGTACGTGAAAGTAAAAAAAATACATTTTTCTGAACACCTTTTTGGATTTCGGGACCGGCCATCACGTAGAAATATTCGAATGAGCCCCCGCAGTCAAAGGGTTAAATAATGAAAAATATTATGGTATATAACTAAAATACAATTTTACAAATAATACTTTAGGTGATTATAAAAGAATAATATTATTAAAATATTTTAAAATTATCAGTTACTAAAGTATTTTAACTGGGTCAAGAAGGTATGCCACAAAGTTAACACTTACATGCTGGAATTTGAAATGAGTCAACATATGCTTAACTAAATTGGATTCACAATGTGTTTTTATATAATCAATAATACTGACAAATTAATAATATTTTATTGAAATTCATATAATAACAAAACATTATTAAATAATCATATTTATAAAAATGATTTAAGTACTCTAATCCATGTATAAGTCAAAATAGAAATTAAGTAACTAATCAGATGGAGAATCACTACAAAATGAGACTAAATAAAAACTATACTATTCCAAATGGGTGAAAATGTCATGCTTTGGAATTTGTCACAGCCAAGAAAGATTATATGAAATAATTATTAATGCAATTAATTATGCAATCCCTGCATCGTGAGCCATCTTGGAGAAGGCTGATGATTTTTCTTTGAGCAAGACTGAAGGTGCGTCGAATTCCACAACTGATCCATGGCCCAAAACCAGGACTCTGAAAAAATCAATTATAATTTAAAATATATATATATATATATATATATATATATACATTTTACATATAAAATCAAAGTAAATACTACAATATAATCTTGATAGTCATACATTTTTTATAATGAAATATTCCGTAATATGACAAGCTCATGATGTTTAAGGAAGAATATTTTAAGCGGTCAGGCAAATATATAATGGTATATAATCAAGTTAAGATCACATGACCATGCTTTTCTTGGAATGCCGAAGCTAGCCAAATATGTCTGTTTTTTCGATAGGTATGTATTTTTATTCAGGATATACCCTAAATAGAGAGAAATATTTAAAAGATTGATAGTAGACATCATGATCTACAAAAAATTTCATATAAACAATTGCCCAATTTCCACCAGAAAAGTAGAAAATTTAAAATTTGTGTTTTTTTATGTGAATCATGTTTTTTGTTAAATAGGAAGTCATAACTAAAAAAATATTTAGTTTATACAATTAACAACTGCACCATCCATAATGACTTTAATGTTTCTTATGTTTCAGATCTGGTCCAATCCAGATACCTATCCTTCCATAATAAACTTCAGAATCATCCCAACCCTCTCGTTTCTAACCTTGCTTCCTCTTCAATTCCTGATAATCCTTCGAGGCATCTGAAAAGAAGATGGCCCAGTGATCTCCTAATGTAGACAAATCATTAGAGTGCTACCATTGGGGACATTTTGAAGATATTCTTCTCTTTCACATGCGAAAAATAGTCCTATTTCCCCAAAATTTCTGGAAACAAAAGTTATGAAAGAAAAGAAACTTTATTCATGAATAACTCAAAAAGTATGCATTAAAATGTAAACATACATGTAAAAATTGGACAATTATTAACAAAGATACAGTCCATTAGTTTTGATATATTTAATAATGTCTTCCGATTTAAAGATATTGCATTTAGGAATAGAATAGTCTCCTACATTTTTTTCCCTGGCTGATATATTAACTTTATTATTTCTTAAAGACATTTGGTTGTTCTTAGGTTTTTTTTTTTATAATTTATAATATTCTATGATCGGGGTATTATTTTGTCTATATTATAGTCAGCGTTTAAAAATATCTCCTATTATTTCTATTATGTTTAATGGAATATTGTAATCGAACAAGAAAAAAATATTAATTCCTTCCTTACATAATATATAGGAACTATTTATTTCCACATTGTTTTGCTATTTCTTCACTAAACAAAATTTTCTGCAAATTTTTTGCACGTGCCAACTAGTTGTTTATATGAAATTTTTTATAGATCAAGTATAATCTTTATCATTGTTGCATTATTAAATTGGTCTTTATATATTGTTTTGAGATTTAATTTGTTTCCTCAGTTTAATGAATATTATTTTGATTTAATTTCTAGCATCAAATGTATTGTTATTAGAAGTTATTGTGCTTAATAATCATAAAAAGTACTAGGAGCCTTGATTCATTGGTCAGAAACATCCAACTTGTATTTCTTTCGATATTAACCATTTAATATAACCTAAACATAAGTTAATGATTCAGAATAGTATAGAGAGTCCGATTTTCATCAGTCGGAAACATAAGATTATGGGTATTTTGATATTCGGCACCTAATATAAGCTTGATTGTTGGGATATAACTGTTCAATAAGTTCATAATTGAGGATTGATGATTGACTATCGTGAATAATGAAGAGAAGAATGGTTGGGGTGATCAGTCAGAAATAAAATGGCGAAAATGAATAATTATATTTATTTAAACATTTGCTAACATTTTGACCTGAAGTTCAGGCCTTCATCAGGGCTGTTCGAAGAGATCGCTTGAATAGAATGAAATGTTAAAATATGAGGCAAATGTTAAAATAAATATTATTATTTATTTTTGCTATTTTATTTCTGACTGATCACCCCAACCATCCTTCTCTTCATTGTTCAATAAGTTATTTATTACTAGAAAGATTTAGAGATCGTTCATCTCCGTTTGCTTTCAGACATCCTTGGCTAGTTTCTGCATTCCGCAAACAGTGTGATCATGTGATCTTGATGTACATGTCAACCTGAAGTGACACTGTTATATATTTATCAACTGGTCTAATATAACAGATATTTCTAGGTCAATTTACCTGTCAGAATCGAGAATTGTTTTTATCCTGTGGGCTATGGTAAGCACAGTGCAGTCAGAAAACACATTGCGTATCGTTTTTTGAATGAAGTCATCAGTTTCAAGATCAATCGCTGCAGTAGCTTCATCGAGGATCAAAATCTTTGTCTTTCTGAGAAGTGCTCGACAGAGACATATCAACTGCCTTTGGCCAACACTAAAACAAATCATTTAATAAGAAGTTGCTTTTAATATTTATTAAGTAATATTTTATTGTTACATGGTATATGAGTTGATCATCAATAACTAATATTTGAATAAGACAAGGAGGTTAAGATGTAAAACTCGAATCCATCAGGAAGGCACTACAGAACAATGATTGCTTCGAGAGTAGATAAGAGACCACATGGAAGATTAAAGATCAGATAAATAGATTGAATGAACAAAAATGCAATAGAGCAGTACGTAGATAACTGGGAAGAAGTAGCCCAAGATAGATAGAGGTAGAAAAGGATAATTCGGGGCCGGCAAAAGATATTAGAAAAAATAAAGCTTTTTTTTTATTTAGATATTTTCTATAAAATTTATGTTGAAACTTCTTAAAATTGATTTTTATTAATAAAAACATCAACATAATTTTGATTAATCCAACAACCTTTTTTTAAATCCAATAATTTTTCATATAACAACCACAAACTTTATTTAAAATTGACTAAAAACAATTTTTTCGTCCACTATAACTATGTTTCTATAAATTACTTACCTAAAGCGATTTATTTTTTTGACTAATTTCAAATATATTATAGAAGTCTAGATTGGTCAAGAGTAGACTAGATTGGTTTCAAGAATTTTTGACATATTTTTAGTTGCTATTACATGGATAAATATAAGATTCATATTCCAAAACATCTTGTTTTAGAAATAATTTTTTTTTGTAATTAATTAATAGAAATAAAGTGTTAATAAATTTCAACCTTAATTTTTAAAAAATTGAACACTTTTGTTATTGAGAATCTTTAATAATAATTAGTACTTCTATCTTCTCTAGAGACATATTTCTGAGTAGATCACACTATTAACATTCAGTCATATTGTCCACCTTACAATTGTAATGTGACCCATCATCCTTTAATAAATTATATTTATATTAAATACTATTTATTAAAATATACAGTAGTAGTTATTAAAAATAACTTTAGTGGACCAGATTAAAAGTGCTCATCGGCCGTAGTTCGGAGGCTCCTCTATTATATCATAATAATTAAAAAATAAAATCCCTGACCTGATGTTTTCACCCCCTTCAGAAACTTCATGATGTAGACCAGCTGTTAGCCCTTTGACAAATGATTTCAAGTGAGCTAACTCTAAGGTATTCCAAACTTCTTCATCGCTGTGATGGCCGAACGGATCAATGTTTATTCGTAAACTACCGGAAAACAGGACAGGATCCTGAAAATAAGATTAGATTAAACTAGGTGAAATATATTTTAAATATGAATGTATGATTTTTTATTGAGTATTTTATATAATAACAATAACTACAAAATTATCTTAGATCAATAAAAATATTTATGGCTTGGTTCTTGAAACCGTAAGCCGGAGGTCAGCCTCGGCAAAGAAGCATTACTAATAATAGACTAAAACTTACAATTCAACATAACATAGCAGTTCTTAATTTTAATTATGAAATTAATACCAAATCCTACCAATCTGTCAGTTTCCTTAAAGTTTTTGAAAAATTAATATACAATTATTTAAGTTGTTGTATATATTTTTTGAATCTTTATTAAGTTAGTTTTTGGCCAGATATGTATTTTTTTTTGTAACTGTTCATTATTGTTATTCTAAGGGGACATCGTCCCAGAATAAAGTTTATTTTCTATTTCTATTTTTATTTCAAAAGTTTGGTTGACATACTAACGGACTCAAAAATAATTCCTGACCATCAATTTGGTTTTCATACATTTCATTCAACCACACCAATTACCCAGAATTACTGACTACATTACTGGAGCACAGCAATAAAATATGCAATCAGTGTGTTTCTGGATGTTGCCCAGGTGTTTGATAAAGTCTAGCAACAGGGACTTCTCTTTAAACTCAAAACTATACTACCTAATACATACTACCACATTCTTCAGTCTTTCTTTGCCGACAGATTTTTCTCTGTCCAATAGGGCTTAGAAATGTCCTCAATTCGACCAGTGTCAGCAAGAGTGCCTCAAGGATCAATATTGGCTCCTTTACTTTACATTATCTATACCCATGAAATTCCTACCACCTCTGAAACATTAACTGCTACTTATGCTGACGAAACAACAATTTTAACAACCAAAATACCCTAGCCTAGCCTCACTGAATTTACGAAATTGGTATTCACTTTGGAAAATTAGATTAAATCAAGACAAATCACAGCACATAACATTTATACTTCGACGAGACACATGCCCACCTGTTTATATTGGTGATAACTGAATTCCTCAGATGGACACTGACAGAAGGATGACCTGGGGACCACATGTCAAAATGAAATGAAAGACTTTGAATAAGTGACTGAAAGTACTATACTCACTTTTCTCCAAATCAAAATTGAAAATCATTTCAATCCAAAATTTTAAGACTAATAACAGAATAGCTCCTAGGTACATAAACAACAAAACTTTATATAGCGACATATAAAAACCAATTATCGACCACCACATACACACTCTCAACTCCTGATTTCATCTTAAACTACACGGACATTTTTTTTTTCTGTTCTTCCCTACCTCACTTTTTAAGCAACACGGGATTTTTCCAGGCTGGTGAGTGAGGGCGGGGAATTTAAAATCCTCTCTGGCACTGGGACGTGAACTTGTACTTTTTATAATCTTTCATATCTGCTATCTGGTTGCCGGGCAACCCGCGGTGCAATGCACGCCCGTTAGCCCATTCGGCCAATGCGTCTCCAGTCGACTACACGGACATCATAACGGTTTGTCCTGATACCCAAAGGTTTCAAAGTATTAAAAATCTCTGACCTACATTTTCCAACTATTTGTAAAGCGATCACAGCTATTCATTCTTCTTTATCACCCCACTCCATGTTAACAGAGCGAAAGAAAAGTACAAAATAATTGGGATTATTATGCTGACATGTAAAGAAAATAACCTGATAGAGGTAAGGATTATCTAAATAATATCCAAGGATGTAAACAAAGTTCAACTTTTGTAACAGTATTTATGGCAGAACTAGGTATTGAAGGAAATAATAGGCTAAATCTTATATAACCCAATTTAAAATTTCATTAAATTATGAAAAATAAATAAATAGATAAAAACCTGAGGGATTATTGTAAGACGAGATCTCAAGGAATGAAGGCCAACGTTTGAAATATCAACGCCATCAATGATTATTTTTCCTCCAGCTGGTTCAATTAATCTGAACAGGCCTAGGGTTACAGATGACTTGCCAGCGCCTGTACGACCAACTATCCCAACCTAAAAACATAATAACATATTAAAAAAATATATATGATTCTTACTGGTTCAAAAATAATTTATGTAACATGTCCTTGTTATAAGATATAACCAGGCCAGAACTTCAACATTACCTTTTCGCCACCTTTGATAGACAAATTGATTCCATTAAGTACCAAGTCTAATCCATGTCGATACCTCAGCTGATAATCTACAAATTCAACTTCTCCTTCCTTTGGCCAGTCATCCTGAATCGGACTAGGAGATATTTCCCAGGCTGCTTCCTATAAAGAATAAATGTAATTTAAGAACTTACAAGTGATTGGAACACTACAAGAGAAATATATGAAAATATAACAGATTCATCTAGAAACAAGAATGAAATTCAAAATACTCATAGTATCTTTTTTGTGGTTCCGGAACATCACACTAAGAGAGAGAAATAGGCTAGTATTGACTCACAGGACAGCTCTGCTTCGCGTGACTGGAGCATATAGGTCTACATTGCATGAAGCAGTGTAAGTCCTAGCAGGGGATGTGTCTTTTGACCTCCTCCTGCGAGAAGAAGTGACCAGACATGATTACAAGAGAGAGGGCTCAACAGGTCTTTTGGAGAACCAAAGGATGAGGATCATTGAAAACCCTAATAAATGGAAAAAGATAACCCGGAAGGAAACAATTGAAGAGTGGAGCAGACAGTAGGTGACGACTCACCATCATCCAATATCGGTTACAAGCGAAATGGATCCTCCTGGACTATTGGGTTTCACAATTCCTCACGGGGTATCGGAGTACTAGAGCTAAACTATAGGATCTGGACAGGGTATAGATCCCCACTGCCTCCCTTGTGGTGTTCCAGAGACAGTTGAGTATATGGTCACGGCCTGCATTGCTTTCGACGAATTAAGAGCCACATTAATGAGAACCAGGAGAATTTATGACATTTTATGGCCAGGAGGAGTTTCCTCCGTTGGGGAGTGAGGAAAACTAAATGTGGTTCAAAGACTTCATAAATGGCTGGAAGACGGTAGTGGATCCAGCGTACTTCAACTGAAGGGTTCACAGAAGGAGAAGAGTACCAGCGCCAGGAAGACCTATGGATTCTGGAAGCCAGACTAAATTAATTGAAGTATGGAAAGTAAAAAGAGTCTAGCTGTGATTTTGGTATACTGTTATCATTGCAGTAGTGTGATATTAAGCATTATAACAGCTTAATATCACACTACTGCATACACCAGTATTGCCCTAGTGGCATCGGAGGGTGGAAATAAATAAAATAGTATATTTTTTATATTATTTCCTTTAAACTCAAGTTATATTTTTAATCTCTTTTTTTTATATAGTGATCTATAGTGTTGAAGAGAGGTAAAATATCACTAAAAATTAGTAAGGATTTTTGTGTTCGGAAGATAAAAGTTTTGACAAGTTATAATGAAAAGAAAAATGTTTGGGACCTAACTCGTCAAGTATATATTCTATGGTAAAATTTATAATAAAACTTTTGAAAGATAATTAAATTACCAACAAAACAAAAAAACAATCATCGGAATCGAACCAGTATTAGCGATGATACAGCGTATTCTATTTTCTACATGTTTTAATTAATTAACTACCTATGCTAGGTAAATGAAGTATTGCCATCGGGTTAAATTTCCAATATGTGGTTTTCAACGGATCTACATGTTTCAGAGCCCTATGAGTTCGAAAAACACATTTTCAGCCATTGGTCTGTCTGTCTGTCTGTGCCAAGATTTTCTCTGGAACTAGCAGACCAATTTTGTTGCTTCTTTTTTATGTTGTAGAGTTTTCATTACTGAGGCCTGTAACACGAATTGAGTGCTCCATGCGCAATAGCTGCTGTGCAATAAATGAAAAACATGTTTTTCTATATACTGTAGCGCAAAAACGGCTCTAATGATTTGGATGAAACTTTCCTATAATGTTGTAATAATTGTCCTTTCAATTTTTGTAAATGGAATAAATTTCCGAAAAAATTCAAGAAAAAAGTTATAAAGGAAAGAAAAATGTTTTGGGGCCTAACTCGCTAAATATTTATTCTGTGGTAAAATTTATAATAAAACTTTTGAAAGGTAATTAAATTACCAACAAAACAAAAAAAAAAAATCATCAGAAAGATTAAGCGTACATATCCTGGTGTCAAAAAGGGATGAATGAAAGAAAAAAGATAACTTAGCGAAAGTTAAAAAATCTGTTGCCTTCATCACACAAGCTTCAACTATTACCTCTACTTCTAACAGAAATTATTATGTCACAAAATTAGGCTGTGGCAAAAAGTTTTTGATCAGCAATATTAGAGGGTATTGAAATTTTTATACTGATCTACCTTAAGCCGGTTTACATTACTTTAGTTTATCAAATCAATCGTACTCAAATCTTTTCTTTGATCAATTGTCAGGAAAATAAATCTAATTCTTTAATTTTTTTTTTTGTTTCTTGATGGACATATGTAAAGATATAAAAACTTTTCTGAAATAGGTAGGAAAGTCGTGTTAGTGGACACATCAGATTTTTTTATTTAGCAAACATTAAGGTTAACAATCAGTATTTTTACTATGAGATGATAAAGTGAAAGATAAAATGAAAAGGAATTTCTTGGATGGAAGTTTTGAAGCTGCAATCACTAGTTTACACTAATAAGTATAATATGAGCAAGGCACTGGCAGCCCTTGACATAGCTCTTTTTCCACTCCTTAACAATAATTGATGCAAACATGCATACAAAAAAATTAGGACTTTTTTTTATTGCTAGTTTCATGCAAGTACATAATTGTTGATGCACAAACAAAATAAATAAAATGAAACATACTCCAGGAAGTTCAGCATATTCCTTGATTCTTTCAACAGCAACAATATTCGTTTCGACTTCTGCACTTGTATTGGTTAACATTATTAAGGACTGAGTAATCTAAAAAAAAAAGTAACTTTTCAAAAAGAAAACTAAATAAAACATTTGTATTTTTATTTATATCAAAGTAATCAAAAACGGTTCCAATTTTTAATGTTCCATAACCATTTATTAAACCAAATAAGTTTTGCTGTTGACATGTTTAGTATAAACCTATACTACAATATGGTGCCATGTTAGGACTCAATATTGACAAGTGGTTAGAGTTAGAGCAAGGTAGCAAGAAGCTTAAATTTCTTAATTAGGTAAGGTTTTATTATTTTACAACCAAGTTACGAGAATGTCTTTTAACTTTTATTTATTTGTGAAAAGAAAAACAGAATTATTATAATATCAGAGTTCCATATATCTAGTTTTTTTAGGCATCTTCATTGAATAAATGAGCAAAAGTAAATTTGATTAAGGGTCGCCCAAATTGTAAGTATGCATGAATACATTGAAAAAATAGCAATTACATTATGTTTTTTTAGGCTGACTCTCAAATAATCTCATTTTTTAATATAATTTTGAATTTATTTGTTTTTAATCTCAGTATAATTCAGCTAAGTTAAATATTTAATATTTAAGTATGCATATTTATTTTGCTGACTCTTGATAATGAGAATATAATCTATTAATATTTTTAAATTTTCAATACACTTTAATTATGTATGGAACCCGAAGGTTAGAAACAAAGAGAAAGAAGATAAAACACAATACCTGAAGTGCATACGTGACAGAAAGCGCCACAATACCAGGATTCAATGACTCTTTTCCAATGACTGAAAACAGTGCGCAGAAGAAGACTATCAAATTACCTAACATTTGAAGTCTTATTGCAAGCCACCTAAAAAAATAATAAGCATTAAGATTATTTAAAGCAATACGTTTCACTTTTTGTCAAGTTAATAAAACATTGTTATGGATTGATGGTTGACTGTCGTGAATAATGAAGAGAAGGATAAGAAAAGAAATAAAATGGCAAAAATAAATAATATTTTTACAACAAATTTTAAAATAAATATTATTATTTATTTTTGCCATTTTATTTCTGACTGATCACCCCAACCATCCTTCTCTTCATTAATAAAACACTAAATGAAGGCATAATTTAAGTAAACCTGACTATTACATTCAAAATAAAAAAAATAAAAATCTGGTGCAGTGCATACATCACACAACTTTCACTTACCAACCTTAGAACAGATACGTATTACTTTCACTTACTTATATACGAAATATAAAGCATATGTGATAAATATTTAGGACGTAGTCTTTCTTTAAAAAAGATTTTAGTTTTTTATTTATGTCAACTTTTCAACCCAAACATGTGGGTCATCTTCAGGGCGTGATTTGAGCACTGAGGGTGTTCAAGTACTTAACTTTAGGTGTTAGAGTACTTGAACACCCTCAGTACTCAAACCACGCCTTGAAGATAACCCACATGTTTGGGTTGAAAAGTTGACATAAATAAAAAACTAAAATTAAAAAAAAAAAAAGACTGCGTCCTGAATATTTATCGCCTATGATATGTAGAGCAGTCGACTAGCTTCCTTCAAGAAATATATAGTAAGGGAAAGTATTGCAATTGTGAAAATTTTCGAATCTGAGTTTTCAACGGAAATGCCTGTTTTGAGGTCTCCTGAGTCGAAATAACAAAGTCCCACAAAATGGTCTGTGCGCATGTATGTGAGAACAGTCTAGCTCAAAAACAAAGAGTCGCACGAAAGTTAAATCGCATATTTAAGGTTTTTATATACTTGAAGTGTTACAGCAACTTTTCTGTCAAAATTGGCAAACTAGAAGTGGCACTTTATATCATGGATTAAATATATTTTTACGATTTTCTTGAAAATGGCCCTAACAATTTTGATTAAATTCATTATATCTGTGTAAAATTAAGCAGTTTTAAATAGAATGTAGATTTTATTCTGGTTGATGTTCTATAACAGGGCTAAAATGACTAATTTTCAATATTAGCTGCCTCTAAAGTACCTTTAAATTTTTTTATTTGAAATAATTGATCATCTCACATTCATCTATAATATAAAAGATAGTTAAATATAAAATATGAAAGAATTTGATAATTAATTAAAGGAGAAATAAGAGAATAAGAGAACAAGCTTCCATACATAAGATGAGCTTAATATAATAAGGAATCCGAATATTAAAATTTGTATATATAAGAGTACATATACAAATAAAAATCCCCACAATGAAATATAAATCAATAACAATACTTATTACTGCTAAGAGGAGGGTGGTAAGTAAAAGGTATGTGATGCGTGTACCAGATTTTTTCTTAACATTATTATTATTATATTTTGATGGTTATTTCTTTTAGATTCAAATGAACCTCAATTATTGAGATCCTTGGTAATGAATTCTTTCAGCAAAACTGTGAATATAACAAAACTTATCCATTTGTAAAAGTAGTGCTTACAGAAATTATTGTTACTACTGTATGTATATGGAGAATTCTATGACTCCGTTTTACTGAAGAGATGAAAAAAGTAAAAATTTGTAATAATTTTCTAACATATTGAAACTAAATCAAGATAAACCATAATTTTATTATTGTTATTAACCTGTTTGCAATAATACTGGGATAAGTACAGGCTTGATTGTAATCTACTTTTTCTTCAGATACTTTTATAAATCTCTCCTGAACGCCGTAGGCCCTTATTGTTGATGAACCTAAACAAAAAAAGAGAAAGTATAATAATAAAAAGAGGAAATCCTATATCGAAAAATATAGATAATCAGGAGGAGAAAATTAAGGTAAGGATAACATCAGATAATAAAGCATATTTTGCAATTTCTAAGGTTTTGAGTAGTGTATTCCTCAGTCAGAAATAAAAAATTACTTTATATAAAACTTTCATCAGACTTATGCATGAGAAAAAACCATACTAAATAAGTCAAAGGTAGATAAGTAAGTACTTCAATTGGATTTCTATAACTTCTGTTAATCCTCCAATTGTATATACGGATCCCAAGGGAATAATCTATTTTAACTCCATGTAATGTTGCTAATCATCTGTTGGTACAGGGATAATTATAGTTGCTGAGGTAAAGTATACTGGAATATCTATGAATATTCCAACAGTAAATATATGGTGAGCTCATACAATAAATCCTAAAATTTCAATGACTAACATGGCATAGATTATCCCATTATTACCAAATGTTTTATTTTTTTCTCTTTCTTATCTAATGATGTGAGAATTTAGTCTGAATACTAGTAGAATTAAAATATAAACTTCTGGGTGTCCAAAGAATCAGAACATGTGATGATATAATAAATGTATCCCTTTCCTAAAAGAGAAATTCTGCGAGATCTTCGAAGAGAGAGAATCCAACGTGAGAGGCCTCTGGTTTGGATCTTACGGAACGATTCCAAAAAGAACAAGGAGCTTCCTCGAGGAACTAGGTGTTGATGTTGGGGAGCTTGCAATGTTGGCCGAGAATATTATCCTGGACTCACTGGAAATCATTAACTACCACTTGTATAGTAATTTACCATGAATTGAGGATGTCTTTTATCTTTTATTTATTTTTATTTTTTGGTGGGGGGGGGATTTATATGATTTCCTCATTTCACCATCAATAAGATCTGCTAATACAGGATGGCTACCAGACAGTTAAAGTAAAATTTCCTTAAATTTAAAAATGTACAATTTATAACTAAATTTATGTATTATACATGAAAGAAAATTGACTACAAAATGATTTGAGTAAAAAACAAAAACAGTATTTTAAATAACAAATCTGTTTTAGAGGAAGAATTTTTTAAGCTTGATTAGGATTTTTTATTTTAGAATACTAAACTTTTAATAAATTATTTTGATAAACTAAGTGGAGGTAAAAGTTGATACTTGACATATAAACTTATAATTTAAAAATGGAAGAAGATTGGAGATAACCTGAAGAATGCTATGGTAACTAAAACATACCTCTCAGAAAAAATAAAATAAAAATACAAACCTGAAACGCTTTCACCAAAGTGAGAATAGATAGGTGATCTTGAAACAGACTCCAGCCTCTTCAATTGTTGTGAAGTAGTAACATAATATCTCTGAAATAGAGTAAAATTATTAATAAGAAAAAAAAACATAATGATTCTGCAAGTCCAACATTTACTTTTAAGTAATAGTCGTGATTTGTTTAATATTTAATGATTGTTTAATAATATTGTTTAATGATTTGATGTATATCAAAAGTTATAAAAAAAAAAAAATAAGGTTCTAAAACGTAAGTTACTAGTTTTTGACCAATGAAATTCGAGTGAATTATTAAGGAGGGCCTAGAACATTTTGTCTATAAAAGCCTTGTCAAACTCGCAGCGAGCTAGTTCAGTTAATAGTACATATTATATAGACATAGATCAGTTAATAATCTAGTTGTCAGTAAATAGGTAAGTGATTCCATTGTTTTCTAAAGTATCAATTATATTTGTATTTATATTACCTAAAGGCCTCTGAACAAGACTGTTTTTAAATTATAACTCACCTATACCAATAGTTAATAAATTATTAAATACAATAGTTGTTAAAATTCTCCCCAAAACATGAAATCATCAAATTTGGTGTCCAAACACTGACTTGTAAATCGTAATATTTGGCACCCAAATAGGGAGCGAACGAAATATGAAAAATTAATTAGCTCCTGAACAAGGGCTTAAAAATAGTTTATAATATACTTTTAATTTATAACAAACTTACTAATTCGTTTACTGTTACTTATGGTTTAATGTCCTTTTCTACTTTAAAAACAGTAGGAGGAACAAATTATTCTATAGGTTACCCATATATTAAATTTAGAGAGGGAATATCTAGAATTTTATTTATTTATAAATTTATTAGAATGCTTTGGTACAAAACAGAAGTTGACCTCTTAAGAATGGCCGAGGTCAAATTTTTATTATATTCACTTAATGCAATACAGTGGGAGTGAGGTAGGGCACTGACCTTCCAAAGCTCAAGATCCTGTGTTCGAATCCCGGGACATGGCAGAAAAATTATTTATTCTGTTTCGGCAGTCGTGGGGCGACCTTGGGATCAGTAGACTCTCCTGTGGCACACCCAGCCTCTATCAAGTGGGTACCCTTAATTAAATAATTAATTAGAGGGAAAATCTGATGGTTGAGCGTGATCTCAGTCAAATCACCTCCTTGAACAACCATTGACTTAGAATCAGTACTTTCTCTAAATAGTACAGAACCCAAGACTCTTCATGGCTTGTAGTGGTACAGGTATTTATTTTTTAATGCAATACAGTATCTGAAGTTAGAGAGTAGAAAACCTCCAAGAATAAAAAATAAATAATAAGTCCTCGCTTCATCCATTCTCAGGACATGTCCTAACCATTTCATTCACTGAAATTGAACGAATTGGGATAGATCACCGTACATGAAGCATCTATATATGTACTTTATACAAATATATACATGTAGATAATAACAATATAAAGAAGGCATTCAGTAAAAATGAATCTAACAATTCCCTGATTTTTAAGACAGAATATTTTAATGGAAATATCAGAAGAAAAAAAAATGTTTTTGCCATTGTTAGAATGGAGGATTTACAAATATGAATATTATGAATTTTCCACTTTTACACATCAGTAAATACTCATGTCTTACATTTAAAAAATGAAAAATCTAAAAATACCCAATTTGTTGAATTTATTTGTCATTAGTAGACATCTTTAATATTTAGACTATCGTCTTTAATATTTTCTTTAATTTACATCTTTAATATTAGTCGTGAAATACCAATGAGTGAAACAGTCATCCGCTAGTTTTTATTGAAACTTACAAACAAAATATATGTATATTTTTGAAAACATATTTTTTTTAAATATCTATACCAGTATAAATTAGATTGTCAAACAGTTAAATACTATACAATATTTTGGTGTATTTACCTGAATGAAATAATACACAAAGCTGATTGGAATAAAGGCAACTATAAAGATTGGAGTTGAATAAGATATGACAAGAATAGTTCCAATTTCCTGCGAATCAGAAAGTTAAAAATTATTATATTGTAGATTAAAAATAATGTCAGATATATACACAGAAATATACATATCACATTACTGCAGACATATAAGCAAGCAATTGTTTTCCACTTGAAGGTATGACGTTATCTATAATGTCGATGTCTTTCGCAAAACGGCTAATAATTCTACCCTGAGGAGTAGTTTCGAAGAACGTCATAGAGCAATGCATAATATTGACTAATAATGCATAATGCAAGAGTGTACCAGCATCAGCAGCTCCAACAAACCAAAATATTGAAGAAAAAAAAGTTGAAACAGCTAAAAAAAATAAGTAAATAAATCATTAATAAAACCCGTAACAGATTCAGTGAATTAATTGAATGTATAATGGGCTATATGTATCCTTGGAGAAAAATTAACAAAATGAAATCTATATAAATAAAGTAAAGATTTTGTCTGTACATTGAATAGAATCAACCCGTTTTATATCTTTCCGTTTCATACATTGCACATACCAAATCCCTTTTAAAAATTTGTTTGTCTGTCTGTTTGTCCGCATTGCAACGGAATTTTGTCAGGGGTAAGCTCGGCAATGGCTAATGGTAGACTTTTGAAATTTTGACATTATCTTTAGGTTTGCTTGACTTAAAATATAGGCTTTAAATGAAAACCAAATGTTGAGTAGAACCAAAGTTATGAATTCTTGAGTAATTTGTTTAGAGATCCCGGTTAGGCAGTTACTTCGATTCTAAAATTCACATAAAACGGGTAAAAGACACTCATTTTTCAACTTTTTCCTATCTTCCCGTTCAAGGTGTCATTCAATCCAACTTCCCGAGCCTAACAAATGTTGTAGTATACGTTTTTAGGATTTACCAAATGGATTAGCCGGGAATCAGGAAAAAAAACTCAAAAAATTTCACCACACCCGCCACAATATTCAGATCAAGTTCTAATTTTACACAGATGTAAGTGACTCAATGTCCAATGTTATTTTGGTTATTTTGCCAGTGATAAACTCAGCAGAGTTTAAAGAAGTGGAGAGACTTCAACTCTTTTTGATTAATTAATCGACTCCACAATCTCGTAGAAATATTGAAAATTACACATTCAAGACCTGATATTTATTATAACAGTATAATTATTATAAAATCAAAATATATTTTTGATACCTACTCTCTCCGAAACCTAACAATCCATAGACTGTCAGATACATATTCCTCTTACTAACATCCTGAGAGCCATTAAATGCAATGCTCTTATCACTTGACCACTCAGAAAGCCAGATGTTAGAACCAATTGAAAAACTTTGGCGAATAATTGTAAAAATAATTGTAGCAGAAAACATCATTAAACCGATAGCTTGCAAGTAATCAGAGTAAACTTTCCATTTTACCTAAAAAAAAAAAAGCATATATTTTTATTTAAATATGTATACAGATACAAAAATATATTTATAATATATCTGTTCTCCGGAGGTAAACAACACCTTGTCCATTTTTTTATTAAATAATTTAGTAGCTAAGAAACAAATTTTAACAGCTCAAAGTTATGGAGCATTGGCTCCCCTTAACAAATATAAATATGAATTATTGAAAGAAGTTAGTCGACTGTTCTAGATATCATGGGTGATAAATATTCAGAACGTAGTCATTTTATTAGTGCCGGCATTTCAACCCAAACATGTGGATAATCATCAGAGCTGAAAAAATGTTTAATATAATCAGAGATATAATATTATAAGACAGTTAATGGTTAATAGTGAAAAACAGTAATTGATGATACATGATATAGACAAATAAAATATGTGATACATTATACATACTAAAAATAATGTATATAATCAATTTATAAAAAATGTAATATTTACTCTTACTAACCGTGTTTGAAGCACTGAAGGTATTCAAGTACTGACACTATGGTAGGTATGTAAAATGGTCGGTGTAGGATTTTCCAGATGTGCTTTTAAGATAGGAAAAGATAGGTAAACAAAGTCAGAGGGGGGTCGATTACATTTTTGTTTGTACAATGAAAATAATTTGATAACTACAATACTCAAGATGTATACAAGATTTGCGTTGTTTCATATAGTTAAAAATTGGGACTATTGGCTTATAATGAAATAAAGATAAATAAAAAATGACAGTCAATACAAACATAAAATACCTATACGCATAAAAGTTCTATACGCTATAGTTTGAAGGAATTTTTGGATGAGGTTGTATGGTAATAGATAAAGAATTTCAGGAGATAGCACAAATGACAAAGGATTTGCTGAAGGATGTAATTTTATGAGAAGGAATGTATAAATCAATAGATTGAGATCTGGTATTAAGAGAATGGATAGAGGAGCGTAGAGTGAGGAGTTCCATGATATAGAGAGGATTTTTGGTTCTTAGGACCTGGAAAAGGAAAACACCAAGAAGGAATTGTCGTCGGGAAGTTGGATAGAGCCACTTCAACTCGTTATACCAGTAAGAAACATGAGGAGAATATCTGAGAATTCCAAAGATGAATCTTATAAAACAGTTCATAAGTCTCTTCAATTTCACCTCCAGTCTTTCAGGAAGCCCTCCATACACCAAACAACCATAGCCGAAGTGGGAGAAAACGTGGGAGGTTACAAAGAGCTGTCTGGCTTTTTGAGGAATAGAATCATGGAATCTTAGGAGTTGTTTAAGGACAGTCAAGGATTTTTGAGTTATCTGGGAAATATGGTTATTCCAGGAAAAGTTCTGATCAAAGATAACTCCTAGATTTTGACTTTTGGAAAAAAAATGGATGGGGTGATTCACGGGCGGATCTACGGGGGGGGGGAGGGCTTTCGGGCTGAAGCCCCCCCCCCCCCAAAATGGTAAAATATAACCATGTTTTATCGGAAAAAATACTAAAAAATTATCTCTTAAAGTATAATTATTCGTGTAATTACATTTAAAAGGGCTTTAGGAATCACTTAAACACCAGTTCGTATAGGTACTTAGTTTCTTTCGTATTTTCCAAAGTAATTATCGTTACTTTTATGAAAAAAAAAGCTTTCGGGCTGAAGCCCCTCCCAAAATTAAATCCTGGATCCGCTAGTGGGACGGTTATTGAGGTAGAGTAGAGTAAGGAGGAAAACTAGTAAGATGCCTGGAACCGATGAGAATAACCTTATTCTTATGCCTGTATATTCCCTAATTCATGCAGATTTCTTCCATTAAAAATGGCAAAAGGGCCTGAAGCGTTGGATTTAGAGTAAAAATAAAGTAGGAATATTATAATCTAATGTGTATTTTTATTAATATAGACGAAAATATTATTCTTCATTAACTTTTAAAGAATGTGTTCAATAAGTAAACTACCTTGCCAACTTCAGATTTCTCTTCCTTAACCAATCTTTCACTTTTACTTTTCCCTCCTACAGGGCCAGAGGAACTCAAATCACCATTTTGATCCTGTCGTTTTCTCCTGCAACAAAGTATACAAAATAACTGAGACGTATTTACTAATAATTTTTTCAACTAATATAATTTTTTCAACTAAAAAAAAAAATCTATAGTGGGCTACATCAAAAACTTTCATTTACAAAACTAATTAATTTCATACATAGATAAGTGCAAGTAAAAATATAGTATCTTATAATTTACTTACATTCTTGTAGAAGAGTCTGAATTCGAATTAACAAATGATTTTTGCTGACTAAGCTCTGGATTACTGTTCGAAATGTGCTCCCTCAATTCACTATCAATAGCTATAAAATTTAGATATATATATAAATTTAATAAAGAAATATAATTATTTGAAGTTATAAATCTGAATAAATTAATAACCTTGTAAACCATCATTATCTATATCATTGGAATAAGTAGTAATGAAGCCTTTGAACGCTCCTTTCTTATCGAGCAGTTCGTTGTATGTTCCGATTTCTGATATCTCACCATCCTTCAGAACTACAATCAGGTCTGTTTCTGATAAATAGGTAATATTGTGTGTGACGAACAACCTAGTCTGTGTATTAAAAATAAGAAATAAAAAAAATATAGAAGTATATACCAACATATTTTTATGTAATATTATGTAAAAATTATTCTCACTTTTTTCATCAGAATCCCTCGAGAACTGATGACTTCTTCAAATATACTTTTGCCAACATGGCTGTCAACGGCACTCAATGGATCATCAAGAAAATAGATATCGCAATCTGAGTAAACAGCTCTAGCAAGGCTCACCCGCTGTTTCTGTCCACCACTCAAGTTGATACCCTAAACGAAAAAAAAAGAAGAAAGGCTTACTAAATCAGAGAGAATAGTGAGTATGCTTTTTGTTTTACTGAAAAGACATAGACTTAAAATTTCTATCAAATTCAATCCAAATACATTTTTTAAACTGTTTTGTATCCTCTGATTGCAAGTCATAACACAATCTTAATCATCATTAAAAAAAAAATAGTGCTTGACGAGATCCATTTCACAAATTTTTTTTTCTTATGATATTTACAACTGCATTAAGAAAGAATACATTAAGTAAATGTGATAACAAAAACATGAAAACACTTGTTGAGAAACTACCCACTGGTAGCACTCTAAAAAAAAAAAATTTATTTACAATAGAAGATCTCGAGGCCATCTTCTTTTCAGACGCCTCAGAGGGTTATCAGGGATCGAATAGGAAGCAAGGTTAGAAATGAGAGGGTTCGGATGGTTCTGAAGTTTATTATGGAAGGATAGGTATCTGGATTGGGCCAATTCGGAATTATAAGGAACATTAAGGTCTTTATGGATGATTTTATTAGTGACAAAGTAAGGAGCATTGAGAATTTTGGATTGTAAGGATTGGATGTATGAGGAATTTGATGGCTTTGTGGACCACCAAATCTCAACTCTGTATGTCCAGATAGGTCTTATTGTAGTCATGTATATGAGTCTTTTGTAATTAACTGGAAATTTAGAGCGTTTGTCTAGTAAGTGCTAGAGTAGTTGGAAATGTCGAGCGGTTTCTTGTCGTTTAAGTCTGGTATGAGGATTCAAAGAGAAAATCACAAATAAGTCACCCAGTTGAAGGACTTTCAAATGGAAACATAACATTATTATAGGTTGAATTTATCCAGATTTTATTAAATAAACTGTTTTCTGTTGTATATTATCATTAAAATCAACTTACCCTTTCACCTATTTCAGTTTGATCTCCTCCAGGAAGAATTGCCAAATCCTGTCTAAGAGCGCAAGCATCAATTATTTTATTATAACTTTCATCGTCCAAATTCTTCCCAAACAATATATTATCTTGGAGGGTACAATTCTGAATCCAAGCTTGCTGTGGTACGTAAGCAATAGAACCCTGTTGAGAAAATTCCTCAAAAAATTATAATAACAATAATAAGAGTAATAAAAATGTATTTACAGATACAAAAAAAGGACATTGAGTGGAATTTATAATGCCAAAATTAAAAAAACAGTTCTTTACAATTAATAAAAAAAAAATTAATAATTTGTGCGAATCTCTCAGATCTCAGATTGCTTGGGTCTATTCCTTGCATTAGTAAACTTAATAGAGTGAGAGGGTTGCTGAGCAGTGTTTGGTCCATAGGATTAGAGGTGACTGAATTTCAGAAATGAGAAAGTATCCAATTAAATATTTATTTTTTAGTTCCCTTAGTGTTAGGTCCGTTTAACAGATCTTTTGAGCAGATAAAGAACCATATAGCTCAATGTCCGTTTCCCGAATCTATTGTCAAATGTAGATTTGAAGTACTTGGTTTTGTTTATGACATTGTATATATAGCTGATTTCATTTTTAAATGAGTCACCATACTTGAATTTGAGTGCTATTTTGTATATGTGAAATAATTTTGGTGGTAATTATATGGCTATTTTGAAGTTTTCTTCTGTATCCCTGTTTTTTGTTGTAGTTTTCAATGTTCTGTTTTGTAATTTACAGAGTTTCGATAAATGACTATCTGCACTGGCTCTATAATATTCAATCACATATCTTAGTATTGATTCAAACAATGACTTATACATCATTATTAACGATTCTTTCTTAAGTAAAAATTGAAGACACTAAATTTTGTAAGAACATGTTAGGAAAAGTTATTGTCTATAGTAACAAATAAATATTTATTCCTATCAACAACATTTAAAATTTTACAAGAGCATAAGTTTTTGTCAGAGTTACTGTTAAGACAAACACAGTTGTGGTTTTTGATTATGTATTCAGTTATCCCAAACACTCCTCTGAAGCAACCTAGATGAAACAGTAGCAATGTTCTAGAATTGCTAAAAGTTAAGGTAAAATGATTACATACTTTTATACTGATTTGTCCGGATACTTTATGCATCTCTCCTAAGAAAGCTGAGATTAATGAAGATTTACCGGAGCCTACAGCTCCAACTACTGCGACTAAAGCCCCAGGTTGCACTTGCAAGTTAAGTTGGTGTAGTGTTGGTTCTCCGTTAAATTCCCAAGAGAATGTAGCATTCTCAATTTTTAATGCGTCTTTGCCTAAATCGAATTAAAATAAAAATGTTCATGAAATAAACATAGGAATCTTAAAAATAATTTGTTAAAAGTAATATTTTTTTGCTCTTACTTTAGACACACACACAGACTCCTGTAAAAAATTATAACTGAATTATATAAAATTAAAACATTTGAGGAGTTTTTCTTTATTTATTCATTATGAAGGCATAATATCTAAAAGTTATTGATACAGTTTGCAATAATAATAATTATTCAGCTTTCCAAGGTTTGTAGTATTTTTAATTTTTAATCTGTATCACTACAATCCATGAAGGGTCTTGGGTTCAGTACTATTTAAGGAAAGCACTATTTCTTGGTCTACGGTTATGCAAGGAGGTGATTTGACCAAGATCACGCTCAACTGCCAGATTTTTACCCTTAATTAATTATTTTAATTAAGGGTACCCATTTTATAGAGGCTGGGTGTGCCCCAGTGTGTAGGAGAGTCTACCTACCCAAGGTCTCCCCACGGCCAATGAAACAGAATAAATAATTTTTCTGTCATGAGCCGGGATTGGAACCAGGAATCTTTAGGAAGCATCCTGCCACTGAGCTACCCCGTTTCCTCCAAGGGTTGTAATAAAGTAATAATCCTAAAGTAAATTAGGAGAAAATCTTTAAGAGTCATGAATGATTTACTGAATGGAAAGAAGAAAAAAAATCCTCTAATAAAATCAAGTCCAATAATTTATATATATTATTCATTTCAAAACAAATTCCTTTCTCAGCTCCTAGGTTTCATCTAATATTTTTTGACCTAGTATCACCAAGAAAGTTTCATTGAAAAAAATGACAGCATGTCTTTTAACATCCCCTTGTTAGTGATTTTATTTTCTAAAATGTTACTAAATGACATTTCGCAACAACCTATATGCTTTATACCCAAATGACTGTTAAATCTAAAGATATGAAGAATTAAACAGATTAATAAAATCAATTAATGATATGATTGAAGTGATCAGGCATGGACTCTTGTTTAATTAATTTGATTTAAACATCATTTAATGAACTTGGAAACATGTAAATTAAATGAGGTCATGAAAAAAACAAAAACATTTCTGATGCTATATTTTCTATAAATTTGTAATGTAGTTAAGAAAGTTAAATTTCAAAATATTTTGAAGGAACACAAAAATTCATTATAGAAGTCAGAGTTATATACTGAAAGGTTAATGATCTTACCATCTTTATCATGGTGCGTCACCTCATTTGGATCTAATTCTTCACTATTCAAAAATTTATTCAACCTTTTTATCGATACACCTGCCTAAAGCAAAATAAAAATTATAGTGTAGTGAGCTATCTAAACGCATTTCATGTAACATCCAATAATAAATAAAAACAGACACAAAATAGCAATGGCTTCAAACACAAATAAACAATGTTTATAAGTGATCTCATGGCATGTTTATAGTGTGGAGACTATAATCATTTTTTTTTCTCACATTACAGACGTTTCATGGGTAAGGGGGTGAGGGCTAGGGATTAATGCTAGAGTTAAAAGCCCCTCCCTGGCATCGAGATGCCAACTCGTAATTATTTTACTATATCTATAACTTTGGTAATCAGGTTAGGCAAGCCCGCTCGGCCATCCTGCCCCCAATCGTCATATCGTTTTACAATTCTACACTGAATCCAACCCTAAATATAGAAATGATAGATAATATATGTATGATATTATTTCAAAGAGAAATTAGAAATACACCCCAATATATATAGTTCAACTCACTTGCATAACATTACTAAAAACCAAAGGAAGGACGATCAAAGGAGGCCTTAAGATATTGAAGAGAGCCAAAGAAACAAATGCTTTTGATGTGTCCAAAATATTATTTTCATCAATTAGAACATAAGTTGCAAATGTTACAAGTGAGACCTGAAAGAAAAGCAATGATTAATATTATTAAGATTATTGTTGTTATTAACAAAATATATATAAAGTTTATATGATTTCGATGATTCATTAAATTAAATTAATGAATGATTCTTACTAAACTTATATATTTCTAGATAATTTCATAATATAATCTGAATAATTTGTCACGGGGAGAATGAAATCTTTGCATCCAAAGTGAAATTTTATTTTTTAAAAAGAGAAGCAATATTCTAAGAGTATGTTGTTCGTACTTTATGTCATATTACTTGCATTATTCAATGAACACCTCTTTCTAAAAAATTTTGAATATAGTGGAAGTTGACACTTCCTTTTCGTTCTCATTCAATTTGAAAAATATTCTGAATTTTCCCTTTACAAAAAATGACATGGTAATGTTACTTGAAAATCGAACTGAGAGTTGAGTGAATTTTTTCCAAGGTTAGTGTTCCAAAAGTGAAAAATGCTTAGAATTATAAGTAGCAATGATTATGCTAACTTCCTGTTCATTACAATTTTTTGGGGGACGAGGGCTTGTTCGAAAGTACAATCACACCTGTTCTGACCAGAGTGGTTCGAGATTCATTATGTAGATTTGGCAAAAAATAAATTTCAACCTGCCCAGACTAGATTCGAACTGGTGCCGCTAGACTTGAGAATGTTAAATGCCTCAACATGCTCGGTCATCATGATCTCTTCTGTTTATTTTAACTGTTAGCTAATAACTCAAAGGATCTTGTAATATTTCCTTTATAACAGTGATTTTAGAAATGGTTCCCTTTACATTTTTATTAACGTTGTAACAAGTCAGAATCTTAAATAATTTTTTACTTTCACTTACGTGAAATAGTCCCCTGAGTCCAAATATCCTACAAAATGGTCTGTGTGTGTATGTATGTTGACAGTCTAGCTCAAAAAAGAAAAATCATACAAAAGTGAAATAGCATATTTATAGTTTTTATGTGCCTGGATGTTACAGCAACTTTTTCGTTAAAATTAGCTAACCGAAAGTGAAACTTTATATCATCAATTTAACACATTTTTATGATTTTCACAAAAACAGCTATAACGATTTTGCTTAAATTTATTATATCTAAAATTAAGCAGTTTTTAATATAATGTAGGTTTTACTCTCATTGATGGTCTTTAACAGGGCTTAAATGACTAATTTTCAATATTTCTTTCTCTAAAATACTTTAATTTTTTTTATTTCAAATAATTAACCATTTCACATTAATCAATGATATAAAAAATAGTTAAATATAAAATATGAAAGAATTTGATTATTAACTAAAGAACAAACAAGAGATAACAACGGAGAATACTTGTAATAGAGGGACTAAATAAATTTGAGCATGCCCGAACTCACCAGAAAGATTAAAACAGGCTTTCATATAAGTGACATGAGCTTAATATAATATGGCCTCTGACAATATTATGTACATATACCTACATAAATGCTATCGATGTTAATTAATATTTAATAATATTGTGTGAATGAATACTATAGCGCTAGTACCAATGGCCTTCAGTGTGGCAGACTGTATTAATATTCAACAAAAAATATTTTTAAAAAATTGTATAGGCTACAGCAATATAAAAATTAAAACTTGTATGTATACTGCTAAATAATAATAATAAAAGGCTTAGCGAACCCGAAGGTTCGATGCCGACACCACCAATCACTTATTACACACCTCCCTCCACCGTTCGGCGTCCAAACCTATTCCCTTCAAATCGGCTTTAATGCAATCTTCCCACCTTCGCTTCGGTCTTCCCCTTGGACGTTTACCACTCGGAACTGCAAATATTAACTTTTTAGGAATTCTCTCATTACTAAGCCCAACAATTTTACAAGCACATTTGATTCACTGGGATGAGATCACCTCAATTATATTGCCCGGATACAGTTCACGCAATTTGGCGTTGTGTAACCGTCTGAACTCTTCGGTTAATTTATCCTCATACTGATACTTAAACAAATATATATATACTGATATATATCATATATACTGGTATATATACTGATACTTAAACAAATATATATACTGATATATATCATATATACTGGTGTAATATAAACTGGTATATATACTGATACTTAAACAAATAAAAATACCCACAATGAAATATAAATAAATATATCTGTATACTTTATCAGTTGTAGTTTATCTTAAAATACTAATTTATGCTAAGAAAAGAGTGGTAAGTGAAAGTTGTGTGATGCGTGCACCACACCAGACTTTTTAAAAAAAATATTTGCTCTTAGTAACCAAATTTAAGAATTAATATATAGGGGTATACAGAAATAAATAAAAATAAACAATGATACCAAGAACGGTGCAGATGCCCACATAAATGTAATGACTGCCTTTAGACGAGCTGTTTTCTTTAGCAGGTTAGCTTCTTTTTTTCTTATTTTTAAGATTCTTTCCTGAAAGCTTGGCTCCCAAGCATACAATTTCAGCACCTTGAATTCAAGCAAAAATAAAAAAAAATAATTTTGATTGAAATTATACATATATTTTTGTAAATTTTTTATAATGAACCATTTTAATTAATGGAGAAACAGATACTTAACTCCTCTGAATCATAAGACATTGCATTTACATATTTCTACATCATTTTGTCATTTGTTCACTAACCAGTAATGTTGTCAATTATTTATATGGCCAAATGGTATATATTATGACATAATGTTGTAGTAGATATCCTCCTGTATTTACTCCTTTAGTTGACATTGTGTGAGGGAATGAGAAGGAATATATAGGAATGTGAGGTTGCACGATGAATTATACTCAATCAGTGGAAAAATTATTCATGGAAAAGTCTCATATTGATAAACAATCAATGAAGGACGCTAGAAAAAGGTCAGATCAGGTAGCTAGCAACAGCTGGAGGAAGACGCCAGAGAAGAGAGAGGGCACTTGAGGCCTGGACACGAAGAGGAGAAGATGGCATCTGGGAAGAGAGGCTTACTACATTGAAGACTAAGAATATCAAGGCTACAGTTATAAGACTTTTATACATTAATTTATTATAGTTGTTAAAATAAATTGTTTTATTATACAGGAGTGAAAAGTCATTTTATTTAGTTGTCCTATAGGCCTCACAATTGAAGAATAACAAACCAGGTGAGTCAATTCATTTAAAGTGTATTTACTAAGTCCCACATCATATATATATATATATTATTATTGTTTCTTCTCACTCAGTGTCACAAAAGGTATTAGATTCCCGAATTCCCAACGACAGTTAAATACCCTCAAAAAAGTTTATATCCAGTGCCGGTGATTTGTTTTAATATTCATGAGTGTAAATAACCTAGTTCCTCGATATAAAAGCAGAAGGCTATTCCCTATTCCCACCAAAACAAATTATTTACAACTAAACTTTAACCAGGTTATTTACAATGTATGTATAAGATTCATGAGTAATTTTTTTTTATATCATATTTTAGCTCAAATAATTAAAATATATTGTCAGTTTTGGACCCTTCAGGTTTGAACAGTTATCAGTTACCTGTATACAGGTATCACATACCTGGGCTGGCAGATCAATGTTGATAACCGGATGGACACAGAGATAAATAAGAGGATTTTGCTGACCAACATATGAAAAGCACTCTGGTAACTGAGCATTGCAAAATAATCCTCTATAAAACTATTATCAGACCGGTTTTAAGTTATGCATCAGAGACCTGGACGATAACCAAGGCAGCCAAGCAGGACCTCCTAATATTCGAACGGAAAATTCTAAGAAGAATTTATGGTCCAGTAAGTGTGAATGGAGAATGGAGAAGGAGGAAAAATCAGGAGATCTAACAGCGGTTTAATGAGGCCAATATTGTCAATTTATAAGAGCAGGCCGTCTCAGATGGGCAGGTCATGTGGCCAGAATGAGAGACGACATGATCCCAAAGAAGGTACTGGTTGAAATCCTGCATGGAGCGCGACGAGTAGGAAGACCAAAGTTAAGATGGAGGGACAGCGTAGACAAAGATGCCAGGAAGCTAGGGGTTCGAGAGTGGATGGTGGCAGCACAAAGCAGACACACCTGGCGGATGCTGTTGGCGGAGGCCATGACTTAATAAGCGGATGGTAGAGCCAGTATAGATAGATATTGTCAGTTTAATGTAAGAATTCAATAAATACACTTTTGATAGAACTATACTTTTAAGTACGTATTTATGAATTTCAATAAAATTTATTAATGTGTGGTGGACAATGAGTTCATCTGCCCGCCACACCTATCGCGGCCTATTAGTTCAACTGCCCATGGCACCACCATATGGGCTCGCTCAAATAGTTTACCAAGATCTACTTTTATTTATTATCCTAATGTATGAAATCTTCAGTACAAAGTTTAAATATTTATATAGATTATGAATGGTTAGTAATAATAAAGATTAATGGTAATAAGATATACTGATCAAAATCCGTTTATAGTAGTCTGCTCTTAGTCTATATTTAGTCTGGAGGATCATCTCTCCGTTAGTAGTTCTCCCTCCCACAAAGTCTAGACGCTCATCTTGCCTGTGGTGTCCATCATGTGAATTATTAAGGAAGGATACTTGGATCACAGATGTAATCAGGCATGTCAAGAAGATGAAATGGCAATGGGCTGGACATCTAATGGGGAAGAATGATGAAAACTGGGCTAAGAAACTAACAGTATGGACCCCCTTGGATATGAAAAGGAAACGAGGCAGACACAGAAGAAGATGGGTAGACAAGATAAAGAAGGTAGAAGCTTCTGTACGCTGTGGTCGAAAATTCCAAATTTCTTGGCTAATTCCTGATGTACGATCTTAGCCATGTTGTTGTGTCTAAGTAGATATTTGTTTCCAGCAAGTGCTTGACGTATTATGTATGACGTATTATAATCAATTCTGTTGCTGTTTTACACATTCGACACAATTCGGCTACAGCTTCTCAGCAAATACGGTGCCTACAGGCCTTTGTAGCGATGATCTGGTCCTGTATGGCCTTCCATTTCAGAAAACAATGTACCCCTACGTAGCCACATCAGAGACGCATCTTTATCTACTCCTGCTGCCAATAAACTATGGTAAAATCTTCCATGTAGTCTTTACACTTCCACATATCAAGCACAAGTTCTTGATTTATAGGTGGAGGAAAATTTTCACTTTGAAGATTCAAAGCTGTAGAACCAGAGTCTAGTGCCGCAATGGCTGAGATGACCCAAGATGAACTATTGGCTCTAAAATAGTTACGGAGTTTTGCTTCTTCCTCGTAACATACTTTTAATAAACTTAAAAGACTATTATTATTAATGGCAATAAGATATACTGATCAAAGTCCGTTTGTAGTCTATATTTACTCTAAAGGTTCATCCCTCCGTTAGTAGTTCTTCCTCCCACAACGTCTGGAGACTTATCTCTCCGTTTGTGTCGTCTATTCTGTGATTTCTTAAGGCTTATCTCTTAGCTCCTCACAGACAGATTGATTTGAGTGCTCAATCACCTGACACTGTAGGTCATCCTATCTTAGCCTCTCCCTCATGCACCAAGTAAGATTTTCTTAATTGAATATCTTTACAAATACAAAAGCTCATTAAGTGCATCTAAATAACACCAACACCATTGTGTGTCAAAAACAGTTACACAATGGTTTGATTTCTCAGAAAGTAACTTCATCCGGTTACTTATAACATATTATTTCATTACCCTCAATTTTAGCAAAAAACATCTAAAGAATTATTTTTGGAAAAAATTTAAACCCATATTTAACATAAGGTAGTTTATGTTAGAATTCAATAAATGCCAGAACGAGTCTTTCATTTATTGGGTAGTATGCTACAAAAGTTGGGCAATATAGGTTAAGAGATTGGTTGAAAATAAATATTAATGATTACTTATATGTATCATTCATTTTTTAACTATTTAAGCTACACCACTGATAAATAATAAAAATGAATTAACCTTCATTCCAGAAAAAACTTCATTCATTATTTTAATCCTTTCATCTTTATGCTTCATCTGCTTGACTTGAAACCCTCTTGTTTTGCTAACCAGATATCCATTGAAAGGAACCATAATAACCAAAACAGCTAATCCTGAAAGTACTGAGGGCCCTAGAAAAGGAAAAGTTAGTAATTAATGTAAAACTTTTACTTGAGGATTCACAAATTCAGTTAAAGAAAATTTTTACATTTTCAATTTTATAAATGGCTAGCTATAGTTACAAGAAAAATTATGCTAGAAAGTATAACTCTTTACGTCAAAGTACTAAAAGATACGTACAGAATTCACTGAAAATAAGCTACATACCTAAGCTTTGCCAAAGTAGGGTTATAGCTAAAAGAATCTGTACAGGGAAAGACCACAGATTGCTCAATGAATTAATCAGTTGATAAAATCTCTGAGCGTCGACAGCCATCAAGTTAACAATCTCTCCTACAGTCGATTCTTTCTTTGAAGAATTAGATAGTTTCAAAGCCTAAAAAGAAATTTGTAATAAAAAAATGGAAAACGACTAGCCGACGTTTTGACCCAAGTATGTGGATCATCATCAGAGTTAAAATTTAAAAAAAAATACATCATAATTATAAGATATAGATAGAAATATATAAATGAGCCAAGATAAAGAGATAGAAAGTACACATAATAATACTATGTCAAGAAAAATAAATAAGTATATAAATAATATAAATAAATTAACTAAAAAATTAATAAAAATAAATAAGAAGTATACATGATAAGATACAATGGGGCTTAGAATGAATTTTTGATTTATAAAATATTATTAGAATAGAATAAACAATGTTATATTATATATTATATCATATATTCAAAGATCTTACTTTTCTATAAATGGCCAGTGTGAGAGCACTTCTGATACGGAGGCCGATAATTTGAGAAATTTTCCCAAACTGAGTCATAAAAAACATTTGTAATGTGGAAAAAACCAACAGTAAAGTAGCATATAAATAACCATGCCACATTGGTTCATCACGTTCCATAAATAAAATCAAATATCTATAAAAAAAAAAATAATAATTAAATACGTAGTGGAAAATTGTACATATTGTTATGATTTTATTAATCTGAAATTTAAATTCAAAAATATTGTGGAGGGACGGAATCAAACCCCACTCTCTTCTCGGAGTTCAATTGTCTTTTCTCGTTGGAGTGTCAGCCAGTAAACATCTTGGAGAGTGGCAGTCATAAAAACGAAACGTCAGCTTGAAATAAAATAGTTTTTTCGCTATTATAAATCTTTTCCATCTCTCTTTCTCATTAAAATAATATTATTTTTATACTACACAATTTTTCGTTTTCCTTAAGTCAGGAATACGGTGACTTACTGAGCCATTCGTTCCCTTTCAGCCCAATATAATTTAGCTTTTTTAGCATACTTGCTGCTGTCATCCTTAAAACTATATCTTACGTCTTAAAGCGCTGGACATACATCGAGGCGTTTTCCTGTCAACTCACTATTCAGTCTGAATATTCTGTTATCCTGATCCGATTCAGGTGGTTTTGGAGGTAGTCGTGGCCCGTCTTCACTCTGAAGCAGGCTACGGCTTGTCCTAGAGGAAGGTTAGGAGGAATAAATCCTTTTTTCAGCACCAATGGTTCCCATCTCTTCCCTTTAACCCCTCCAGAATAGTCCAGTTTTAGGAGTTGAGCCATTGCCCATTTGGGTTGTCCTTTCAGCTGATTCAAAGCTTAGAACTTGATGTGACTGGTCCTTTTGCGAACTTTTTTTTTTTTTTTTTTTGTGACTTTATCAGCCTCTTCATTCTCCTGAATCCCACAATGTCTCAGGACCCACTGCAACATCAATTTAGTCCCACTTAATATTAGCTGGTGAGCAACGTGTCTATATTTTTGAATTTCATTATCCTCGTTGTCCATCGAGTTGGTAATGGCGATTATGGCTGCTTGAGAGTCAACCAAAATGAATATTTTTTTGTAATATTTCATGATCAGTTTTTCAAGTGCCAATCAGAATGTTGTGACTTCTCTATCAAAGTTTCTATGAGGTTACCAGCTGGTTCTTCAAGCTGGAAATATTTACAGTATAAACCTGCTTCTGAGATTTTCCTTGCTCCTTATGCTATAAGATGAAAGTAATCAATATTGTATACCAATATGTATAAAATAAAAGTTTTGATACAAATATAAACTTAAAAGGCCATAACAAACTATCAGAAATGTGATAAAATTGTTTTTAAAACAATGGATATCGTCGTGATTGTATTTTGTGCAAATTAAAGTTAATTAAAATTAAAATTTAATTAATTAAAGTACTTACTTTAAAAGTTGAGGACTGACGAAAGATAAAAAGATTTGTATAATTTTGAAAATGGAACAAACAGCAAATTCAGGTCCAAAAGCCTTGCATAAAGGTGGGACTATAGAACAAGGTTTGTATACCGTTTCACTTCCTGCAATTTTTACACTGTCCTCATTCTTCATAAATTTTGCAGAGTTTTTAAAAACCAAGCTGAAAAAAAATGTATACACTTTTAAAATTATTCTTCATATAAAACCAAAGATTAACATCAATAATACAATTGTATTGAATAATTTTTAATTATAGTACAGAAAAATATATAGACATATAAGCATAACAAGACATGTAAAGTTATCTTAATCTTATTCAATGAGATTAGAACGATTTTGGAGTAGATATGTTTATTTTATCATATAAGGGTAAGGTTATAGTGTAATGTCTGGCGTTGTCATGGATAAAGGTTTCATCTTTAATGAGCATACGTAGTCTTTTTCTGAGGAAAATCCTGTATGAGTGAATTCTGTTGAGATTACTTCACAGTGAGCAGTGATTGAGTTAAGCAACCTCTTAAAAGTCACAAATATTATCATCTTTGCTAATTTCCTTAGGTAGTAGATCATGGCTTAAATTCTTAGGCTTACATATACAATAGATTTTATTTTACATTTGACTTTAATTTAACTATCAAATTAGATTTTAGAAATACTTGGTAAGAACAATAACAACATTCTATAACAGGCCAGTATTATAATTAAATATTCCCGAACACTTCATGCAGGACGTGGTTTTCAACAACCAATCTAAATAGAGAATAAATAAAAATATATTCTAGATTAAAGTAAAATCATGGATTATGGAATAGCCATCTACACCGCATAGGAATTTCGAATTCAGACAAATGTGAAAATCGCATGAATCTCAAAGAAGAACGCATTTCCTTACCCTAGACAAAAGTAACGTTATCTGTAAACAAATACTGTCACTGAGCAGCAGAATGCAGATAAAAACAAATTTAATAAAAAATGACCTAAGAACATCATCGTAAATTTCTAGCTGGCTATGCGGAATTATTAAATGACATTAAAACATAAAAAATAAAAATATAGCCTCAATTTTGGAACAGTGTAGGATTACCATGAGATGTGCCTTGAAATAATAAGTATTTTTAAGAGTTAAATCTTTTTTGGTCAAAACATTACAGTTATGGGTTGTACTATATTTTGACACACATCAATTTTATTATAAAACTCCCCTTACTTCAAGGACTTCTTGTATTGGTGTAAGACAACTATAGGTGCAACACATTTCTCTTTGGGAAGAGAAGGTGCTGTAGCAAGAAGGTCAAACGAAGGAGAGAGAGGAGAAGAATGTAACCAAACCCATAGAAAGAAGAACAAGCTGCGTGCAAATTTCAAGAAAACTTTTAGTAGTTAATTGTTCTAGTAGCAGCAGTCTATTGTTACGCTGGGATATGTAATAGGCTATCGCTGCTAATACCGGTATTGCATACTAAAACTGTATTTTTTTTTTGGTTGCCTTAACCAACCTTTTCTATCTCTGCTTTTATTTGGGTATTGCTTTTCCTTGTTCGTTGATTCGATATATCCAATCAGTTTTTGGCTTATGACATAGTCTCTTGCCTATTATTGAGGCATTCATTTTTGTGTAGAGATAATAATTTACAAAAACGTAGTTAAAAGTTTAGCTCCAACTAAAGTATAGTTTGATTACCAAATCAATTTGAGAAATATTTTAAATTATTTAAAAATATTATATAATGAATGACTTACCCATTTTTCTTGACGATAAAGGCATTCCAATATTTATTAAAAAGAGAGAAAACTTGCAATGCTGTATTATGAAATTCCATTGACCATAAGTCATTGCTAGTCAATGTCTTTTTAAATCCTTTAGACAGCAAGTGATTAAACCAAGAAAATGTTATTCGAGAAGGGAAGGAAGCAGATTCTTCTGGACAAGGATTCTGCAAGTATTAAACATATTTTAAATGGTGAAATTAGTAAATAGTAATAGCTTCCTAGTTTAAATATGCTATTATTCTTATTATGTAGAAATAATATTTTAATATTTTAATGCATTAAATTAATCATTCAAAAATATTAATTGACTCTCCAACAACCAGCTTTCCCATTTCAAGATAGACAAATATATATATATGAAAAACAAATCAAATTCAGTCCTTAAATTCAATGAAAAACCTAAATAAACTATAAGGAAACAAATTTTTAACTTGTCATTGAAATCACTTTAGTCGTTTTTAAAAAGAAAATTACAAATCAAATAAGATGAAACTAAAGTGGTAATTAACATTTTATAAATTTAAATACAGAAAATAGTAGCTGATAGCTGCTAGGTAACGCCTGTCTTTGGTTGTTGATCCATTTGGTTAAGCGCTGACCAGTTTTTTAACATTGGTTAATTTGTCAGCTTTGTTGTTTTTACATACATATATCACTCTTTGGGATCCTCAGGTGTTCTCATGTTTCATTCTGGTACACCGAGTTAAAGCGGCTTTATCCTACTTCCCGACGACAATTCTTCCTTGATGTTTTCCTTTTCCAAGTCCTCAGTACCGAAAACCCTTTCTACATCCTGGAACTCCTTACTTTATCCACTCTATCAATACCAGGTCTCAATCTATAGATTTATATATCCCCTTCCATAAAATTACTTCCTATAGCAAATCCTTCGTTATTCGTACTACATCCTTTTGAAACTCTCTACCTACCTCCATATGTCAATCCTCGTCCACAAATTCTTTCAAACAACTTCCGTTCCACCACCTACTCCATATTGAAACCTTCGTTTTACAGGTGAAAAATTTATTAGCATCTGTACACTGTTTAATTCAATCAACTGCATAATTGCAATAACAATTAAATGTTAATTAGTTTGTATTTTGTATTCTTCTAAGCCAGACTAAGACTCATAAATATGCAACTCTGTTATTATTCCCCTGTAGTCCTGGGATAAAATTATTTTTTTCATTTCATATATTGATGTGATTAAGTATCCACTGGAACATCGGTATCCATCCACGATATCCCAGAAAGCTTCAAAATACTTTTCTTTTACATTCAACTGACCTCTTACATGCAAAAATGGAACTTTTTAAATAAAGTTCAACCACTGCTTTAAATCGCATATCGTGGGTGTAATGCCCCAGTAGCTTATATTAAAATAAGTCCAACCACGAAAATTGGATTTGAAATTATGATTATTGGTGTAAGATAAATACAATTCTTGCTGAAATAGATTTTATCTTGTTAGAGACAGTTTGCCTCATTGACACTGTAATTCTTCAATATCGTAAAAATATCTAACTAAAAATCACAAACTTAAAACTAATAAAATTTTTGCATGACACTTTAAAATTGGACCCACGATATGTAAAAATTAATGAATGCATTTAATCGAAATAGCCTTCAACGAAAAATACACTGACTTGGATTGCACTCAAGTAAACAATATTCATATAAACGCAAAAGCTTTTGCCTCACAATGATCTGAAAAGAAAATGGTCTTACATAGAACTAAGCTATTAATAATTTGATTCTAAATTAATTAATTCTAAATAACATGCATTGTTACAATATAGTTAATAAAATGAAGTAGTGGTTTAGAAGTTTTTAAAAAAAAGTAAATAAGTTTTAAATATTTTACAAATTATTGCTTACTTTAACAGGAGCATAACTAGTAGAAGCTGGGGGAAGGTCCACAATCCATTGAAGTATGAACAAACTTAATGAAAAAAAGTAATAAACGATAAAAAAATAGCTCATTACATTTTCTCCATTCTGTGAAAATAAAATATTTGCTTTTAAATGTTTATAATATAAATAAGCAATACTCAACATAAGTGAGGAATACCATACATTTGATGGATGCCCTATCAATAGTACTTCAACTGATGAGAAGAGCTGTGGAAATCCAAATAAAACTACAAGAAACCAAAAAAGAAACATTAGCCCAGAAGATCTTTTTCCGAACTTTCGATGAAGAGTTACTAATATACAGCATAGTACCTATAATAAAAACATTTACAAAATATCAAGTTTAATAATCATTAAATAAATAGGCAAAGACAAAACAGTTCAGTACCTTTTTTTCCACTGTCTTTCAATCGATTATTTTTTTTTTGTTTAGTAGTTATTGACCAGCTTTATTGTTATGAATACAAAAATATGGAAACAGTGTATATGAATAAAAATAAAGTAGGGAGATGGCAGACATAAAAAGAATAAAATAGTGAAAAAAATATTTTTATTTCAAGCCGTTTCGATCCTCGCCATCGCCTTCTTCAGGGATGTGTATGCAGTTTCGGTTGACTGTAAACTGAATCAAATCCAAGTGCATAAAAATAGTTTTTTTTCACTATTTTAGCGTTTTTATGACTGCCACCCTGGACAATCTTATTCAATAATATACAACGGTCAACCATCAAGTATCCATAAATAAAAATCTATGTTAGTTTGTTCAAAACTGCTATTATCCTAAAGTTCTTCACTGATTTGAAATACAACATTGCAATAAAATTCAGAAATTTTATATAAATTTCATTACCATCTGGCCTTACACTTCGAAATGGGGACTGAAAATGTGTATTGCTGTAGATTATAGTGCTGGAATGGATGTAACGACTTTAATGAAACTTGGCTAAACTCTTCTCCTTAAGATCCTTTTAATTTAAATATATATAACTAATTTATGTATATAATATTCTTTCCCGAAAAGAGGCTTAAAAAAATAGTGATATATTAAGAATTTTATTTGCGGATAACTCAAAGTGTACACAATTGTTGGTTAGTTAAAGAATATTTGAACGCTTCTTGAATTCCCTACAAAATGAAAAGAATCGTGTCTGATGAGATATTTTTGTTGCTTGCTTTTTTTTTTTTTTTTTTTCTTTTTTTTTTTTACCATTTTATATTCTTTAGCTCTATTATGACAAATTTATATTTAGCATATATGTAGCTATAGCATGAGTAAAATGTTGAAATGAAAACAATTGCATTGATCAAAGGAGCAACGAAGGTTTAAATATTTTTTTTATTTGTTTGGAGAGTCTCTCCAGAAATGATGTAGGGGAAAATCTAAAATATGAGGACAACTTAATTTGAAAAATTAATACGACACTGAATAATGGAAATTTAATGGAGGACTCGATAAGACTTGAAAATGGCCCTAGTGACGGTCGAAACATTGTCGTAATAAAATAGCTAATAAATAAAATGTTGGTGAATAATGGCCTAATTTATATAACAAATAAAACCTCAAGACACCGATTCTAGGAATATTGAACAGAATAAATATTTTTTGAAAAAAGTAATGGTGGATTCATAATTTTATTTATGAATAGCTCAAATGGTACAGCACTGTTTTGTATAGTAAGTACATATAAAAGTATATATAGGAATATATAAGAGTAGAAAAAACAATAATAGAAACATGCAAATTTGTTTATAATTTCCTCAAATTTTAAATAATGATTATGGTCGAATTTAGACTACTGGGCGAACACTAGTAATAATAAAAGGATTAGAGAACCTGAAGGTTTAATGCCAATACCACCAATAGCTATTAATATACATTAGTTCATCAACTGGCCACCATCCAAACCCAATTAACAAGATCAATCTTAACGCAACCATACCACCTTTTCTACATTCTAGCCCTCGGACCCTTACCAGTCCATATAGCCCTTATTGACCATTTTGGGATTCATTCGCCACTAAGCCCAACAATTTTATAAGCCCATTGTATTTGCTAGAAACCTACTGTCTCTCAATCATATCCAGCTAAGTTCAGTTCCCAAAATTCGGCATTGTTGAGCCGTCTCAATTCTCTTCATTTGTCCTTCGGTCCAAATATTTTTCACAACCTCAAGGCGTTGTTCATCCCTTAACATAAGCGGCCAAATTTCACATCTGTAAAGTACCCTAGGAAGTATATTAGTTTAGTAGATTCTAAGTTTTGGGACAGAAGGCATGAGTTAGGTAATTTTGCAACTGAAAAATAACTACCAATACTAGCCTTCAACTTACCTTTATATTCTCTTCAATTTTATTTTTTTCTAGTTGTTTTCTTTTATTTCTTGTTATTTAATGACCTGATATAAATTATAATAAACATAACTGCCTAAATATACTTTTTTATTTATAAACAAAATTGTATAAATAATCATTTTTCATCTAAACTGAAAATAAAACTGTTTTTTTAAACTAAGATTTCTATTATAGGAATTGATCTGCATTTATAAGTGACAATATAAATGTTTCTAGTCCTAATATTTACGTTTGAAATAAAGAAATCTGCTGATTGTTTCAATTATTTTGATGAAAACCTAAATATTAGGCTCAGAGAATTATAGTTCATCACTTATAATTATGGATAAATGCTTATAATAGAGATCTAGAGTATGAATAGAGTATAATTAGTATAATAGAGTATGAATAACACAGATGAAAAATTTTTAAAGGAAGGAGATGGTCTCGGGTGGCGGTCATAAATAGGCTAAATAGTGATAAAACAATTTTATTAAAAGTCAACGTTTCGACCCGACTTTGCAGGTCTTCTTCAGGGCTAGAACGGACAAGATACAAACAGATAGAGAATTGTGAAAGTTACATAATATTTAGACAAAAAATTATAAACAATGTGAATAAGCTTATTAAAATAGTCTCAATATTATATAATATTCAAATGTAATTTTTTTACATATGTACAACCAAATATAATTATAATTATTAATTTTTTTCCCCTCTTTATACTTCTAAGTTAGTTCTGCAATGTATGTATGTAAATGAAGTTATTTCTATAACTATATTTTACTTATTCCATTTTTGTTTTTATTCACATTGTACTCTTATCTATAACCTCTTAATTATATTTTATATGTATACGTATATATTTATAATTTAATATTTCATAGATATAGTATTTTTCCATTGTATCCATCCATATCTTCAAATTTTAGATACTGTAATGTTCTCCATTACCCAAACACGTCAGCTTCCACAATATCTGCCCCTACCCTGGTTTTCCAGTTCTAAGTGAAACTCCTAGCTGAACACACCTGTAAGTCTCTAATTTTATTTACTTGTTTATTTAATTTTTTGTTTTTCTTTTCTTTCTCTACATTCCTTTATGTCTATTATCTCATATTATATCCTTTTTCCTTTCAATCTCTCCTGTAGATCTGTAGAAGTATATTCACATTTGCATTTATTATATATTACACTAACAACAATTTTTAGCATCTATTTACTTTAGTTTAGGATCTGGTTACTTAGCTTACTCTGTTTATATTTTAATGTACTTACTGTTTATAATTTTAATAAGCTTATTCACATTGTTTATAATTTTTTGTCTAAATATTATTTAACTTCGACAATTCTCTATCTTTTTATATCTTGTCCGTTCTAGCCCTGAAGAAGACCTGCAAAGTCGGGTCGAAACGTTGGCTTTTAATAAAATAGTTTTATCACTATTTAGCCTATTTACGACCGCCACCCCGGACCATCTCCTTCCTTTATAATGCAACGGTCAACTATTAAATATTCAATATGAAAATTTTTTGAAAAATCATTATTTTTACCTTTTTTTTTTATAAATAAAAAGTGTATTTGTGCAAATATGTTTAATAAAATACATCCCAGATCATGGAATAAGAAGAGATAGAAGTTTTGAGATAATTTATTTTAGTAATTTTTCTGAAACACGGGTGACAAGATATAAAATCACATAATTTTTTTACACAACTTGAAGTGAATCTAAACTCTTTTCCTAATAAACCTCAACTTAATTAATATGGACTTAAAGCTTATTAAACGAAATTGTTTTTCTAAAAAGGGGTATCTGTAGTACATTTGGAGGAAATACAGAAAATTGTGAATAATTTATGATTTTTTTAACAGAACTTAGCTTAGTTTTGCTGGCTTAGTTGTTCTATTCATATTTATTTCGAGCCCCAGTTCTTTACCAGTTTTCATCAATGATGAATTTAATATTATAGGATGGGGTTTAACAAAAACAAAAAATAATTAAAAAAATTAGTACTTTAAAAAAACTTACCAAGGAAATTATTTTAACTATGGGAGTAAAAATATCCGCAAGAAACACCTTTATTTTAAAAATGTTGAATATAATGTCAAATAGACATATAGCAATCAGCACAAAAATAAATACCTGAAAATATTTAATTTTATTTATCATTATGTTTAAGAATATATACCAAGACATACTGATATTTATTAGTTATATTACAATGAATCAGACCAGGGCAAAAATATTTTAATTATTATTTTAAAATATCGAGTATTTTGCGTTTTTAAAGTATAGTGTATTTTTATTAGAGAATTTGGCTGGGGATTACAGTCACTAGAAGCACACAAAAACAGTAATGGATCCTAAATTTCATTTTCGAGAAGGGGTTTAAGACCGAAATTCGCTTTTTAAAGTAAAAGGAAAGATTACTGAAGAAAAATGCATAAATTTAATATATTAGAAGGAAAAAAACATACAGTAATTAATTGTTTAAAATAATATGTACCTATAATTTTTATTTTCAGGTTCAATCAGCTAAATATTTTAATAATAGTATTACTTTATTCTGGGGGCTAATGACTTAGATGTTTTGAGCCTAAAACATCAAATGATAAAAAGGCCTATTTTTACTGAAAGTAGGGTGGTAAGTGAAAGTTGTGTGATGCATGAATCACACCATATTTTTAAAAATTATTTTCAAAATACATGATTATATTATATAGCTTTATGTGGATTATAATTTAAAAAATAGAGCATAATGTTATTTTTTAAAAGTATTTGGCTTATAACACACACAGTAACAAATACAGACGAATGAAAAAAAAGTATTTTTCCATTTTGGGAAGCCCTGTAGATCCCTCAGTGCACAAAAATAAATTACATATATTTTTAAATTGGCAATTAATTATCTCCAACTAATTTCTCTAATAAGAATCTACAATATATTGAATAAGAGGTATAGACAACCATATATCCACTATAGTGTATTTCAATTACTAAGTATTTTAAATGTAATAAAAAATACAAATTTAAATACATCTCATGAAGAGGGGATTTAAAATCAATTCCTTAAAAAATAGGTTTATTCTGGTGAAGAAAGGAATTATGAGATTAGAAGGCAATGGATATACTTTTAAAATAATTACTTATAAATAAGTTGTTTTATTAAATTAATATTATTTCTGAACAATATATGATAAAAGTGACAGTGAAATTAATTAATTTTAAACATTCTCTAAGTTATTATATAAAACAAATCTCAGCTGGAAAATACTTGAAAATATTATAAAAAATAAAAGCAATCCACCTTTACTAGTTTAACAAAATATGCTCTTCCTTTTTTAAAAAAAGATTCTGGTGTAATGCTTAATTTTTTTTTAAGGCTAATAAATTTTATTAGCAAAAATAATTTTATTGCACATTTAACACCATTGACCCTAAAGTATTTCTAAGCTGGATTTTCACAGGGGACGATTCTTGTGTAGATGTTAACAATAATCAAAGGAACCTAGTCAATTCGGTAATTTATTTTGTGACTTTAAAATACAAAACAAAATACATTTTTTTCTGTTTGAGTATCTTGGAAAGAAAATACAAATTATTTTTTTGTATTTTAAAAAGTATGTAATTATATTTATATTTTACCTCTTTAAATTCAAAAAATATATTTCATTTGAAATAACACTACATGTGTCTGAAACAAACATACCAATTTTAATTTGCTTCTCCAATTCCAGGGGATGTCTTTTGCTTTACTGCTATGTATAAGATAAATCTCAACAGCGGCAAAGATCCAAAGGAACATACATGGTATATAAACAAGAGCAGTCTTTTCGAAACATTGAGTAAATCTAGGAGATTCCGTATACCATGTAACATTATTATCCTTAAAAAAATAGGTATATATATATAAATGAATAAATTATATGCACCATTCTCCTAAATAAAAAGAACCAATCCTCATTTCTCTAATAAAGGAATATTTAAGATTTTTTTGTTGAAATATAGAAAAAAAACCTTTCTTTGTACAGTCATTTATTTATATTTTATAAGTTAAACAGAGCTTTCGGTGGCCTGCACCAAATTCATCTAAAAATTAACAAATATCCAATAATACATCATAATTCCTAATTGTCACACTGGGTTCTGTAAATTCTACATATGGTTAATACACCAGTACCTGACATACTTAAGGAAATTTCTTTGCACTTTTACGTGTAAAAACTTAAATATTGATATTATTATATTTTTCATGGATTCATCTTATAGAACTATTTCTCATGGTATCGAGAGATCAAGATTTTACACTCGCGCTCGCTCAGAGTAATGAGGAGCCGAGAACAGTCGAAGAGCAAGGTGTTGATGACCTGAGGGTTTTACGCCTATAAACTACAAACAAACAAACTGTCAAAGAAATGCAAGCACTCTCACAAACTTGGTGAACGGGTTCCGATTACATTATTTACTTACACATGTACGGTTTTCATAAATGTTAGTGCTGCTATTATTTAATACTTAATTGTATTTATTACAGCAATATAAATATTAAAATTTGTATTTACAAGGATATTTAAACAAATAAAAATACCCACAATGAAATAAAAAGTACATAATTTTTAGTTTCACTTTCCTTTTGTCTGAAAATACTTATTTTGCTAAGAAGAAGGTGGTAAGTGAAAGTTTGTGATGTGCGCACTGTACCAGATTTTTATGTCTCAAAATGGTTCTGAATCAGTTTTTCTTTAGGAGAGGAGGAAGGGGGGAGAGCAGATTATGATCTTTCTTTCAAAAATCAGTACATGCTTCAATTTGTTTAGGAAAAAGCAATAAAATACCATTATAATTTTTTTTTCACCAAAAAATTGACTTTGTTTTTCTCCGTAATCCTCTACTATCAAGTTTACTATATCTTATAAATATAAATATGTTACATGCATGTTATATGGATTTTAAAATAAGACATACCCAAAATGGTGAACCACAGAAACTGTTTAAGGTTTCCTCAACCATAATAAAAGAGTTACGTACAATTTCTTCTTATATCCCAAATGGTAACTTGTAAGTTTATAACATGTTTAAGTACTTTTGAGTTTTAGAAACTTGAAATCAAAGAAAATTATAATTAGCGACAAATAAAAAAAAATATTAGAAGACATGAATCTAATCAAATAGGGTTTATGAAATAATTAACAAAGTTAATCAATGTAAGACAATTGAAAGCCTATTGTTCTTTCTGTACTATTAGTATTAGAGTGATATCATTGAACATTCTGAGCATAATAAGTATTATTCTTTGAAGGTTAAGCAAAAACTAGTTTTTCCAACATTAAATTTATTTTTCTTGTAATCTTTCAAGGTTAAAAAACATCTACAATTTTACATACAATACATCAAAACTTCTTGAATATCACAATAATATCATCCTTTATATTAATATAATCGACAAAAATTAAAAAAAAAATAGTTTTTCATTAAATCTTCAAAATTGTCTAAGAGTATATATTAATAATATGGAGGAAAACAATTTATTTTACTGATGTAGAGATGGTTGACCGTTGATATGATATGAGAAGGAATTAGTCGAGGGTGCGGTCAAAAAAAATAAAAAAAATTAAAATATATAAATAATTTTAATTTTAATTTTTGCCAAATTATTTAATTAAAATTAAAATTTAATTAATAATTTAATTAAAATTATTTATATATTTTAATTTTTTTTATTTTTTTTGACCGCACCCTCGAATTTATTTTACTCTTAAACATTTACTCCATTGCTTTAATTCATTCAAATTTCTTTGACGAAATGGGCAAAATTGCTCGAAACGTCGTCAAAGAAATTTGAATGAATTAAAGAATTGGAGTTAATGTATAAGGATAAAATAAATTGTTTTCTCCGATATTATATATTTTATTAAAAAAATTAAGACATGTTTTTATGTCTTGAGCTCAAACTTAACTCAATTAGAATTAGTAACAAAGAGATATGTGAGGTATGGACAAAAAAGTATGTTATACAAATACATTTTTTTAAAAAATATTTACATAAATAGAATTAAAAAATTTATAACAATCAAAAAGAAACTTTAAAAAAATAAAAAGATATGATAATATAGAAAATGTTTTCAGTTGTGTTTCCGACTCTTAGATTATTTTTGAGAAGTATTGTTTCCACCCAAAATAAAACAATCCTACATCCATTGTTGGGCAGTATACAACTAACTGATTTTACTTTATTTAGAATGAAACAGGATTTTAGCATTTGAAACATTGTTGGTAAAATATATATAGTTAAGATCTTGTAAAATATTAATATACAAATATATAAACAAATTCACATGTAATTTTATTAATTAAACAGTTATATATGCAAAAAATAAATTCAGTTTATTTAAATATCCATAAAATATGTATTTAGAACAGAAATATGTACAAAAACAAAAATATTCAAAATGAAATTTTCCAAAAAAATTTAGAATGACATAATTCATTCAGCTCATATTTTAAAAGAAATATGTATTTGCATACAAATCTAGGCCTTATTTACCAAAACAAATTTATTGAGCAAACTCCCATTTGCATGCCCTAGCTTGTGAAATGCCTTGACTATACCCGTGACTTTACCGTTTCAAATAATTTCAAGTTTTTCAGTTCCAGTACACTATGTCAGGAGTCAAAAAAAAGAAGGAAACATCTGGTTCAGGATCAGAATCTGTGGATTAAGCTATACTGAGAGGTAGATAGAAGAATACGGTGTTATAAGATGAAGATATCATATAGGATCTTCTAAAAGCAAGCAACACAAGACAAGAGAAATATGACAAGAATATAAGAATACATCAGTCAAGGAATCAGGTATCAGAGTTACAGCTTCCCACTATAACCAAATTTCAAAACAGAGATTTTTTGAGCTAACACCAACGTCTGAAAAGCCTATGATTGGAACAATCGTAAACTATGACAAGACATCTTTGAAACGGTATACACACAGATGGACTAAACATCCAAATAAATCTGTTTAATTATGAAAACTTAAAGGATTCTTATCTACTAACAAAAACGAACCAATAAACTTTATTGCTCCAATTAATAAATTATATTTATACGATGTGTGAGTGTATGTATATATATAGTTTTCTTTTGTATATAAATTATATTTTGTTTTTCTTGTACTTTTAACGATTGTAATCTCCACAAAAATAAAATTTATTATTACGACATGATGTAATGTATAAAAAAAAATGTAAATAAATGATAATTTCTAAAAAAAAAGTTATGGAAAAGCGGAAAGAAAGAGGTGATATTCAAAATGAAAAATGAGTAACAGTAAAAAAAAAAAATAAATAACAATTATAAACTATAAGAAAGGCTTATAATTATAATTGGTAAAAGGCTTTAATGTAAAATACAACCATTGATTTTCATCAATGCAATGCTACTACTGAAAAGATCGTTCAGAAAGGAATTATAAGAAAACAACCATCTATTTTTTAAGAACTAATTTATGTATTTATGCTTTTGGCAATGTTGTAGTATTACAAAACAAACTTTGATTCAAATATTAATAATTCCTATAATATGGTGAATAAAATAAAATTAATAGATAGAAAAAGGCATAAATAATTTAATATGTTTGCAGTTGAAATTCATTAAAGAATGAAATTGAAATTTGAAAATGTATTAAATCAATTTTTGGGATCAAGGTGCTGAGGAGAGGAAGTATTTTTAGCTAGGGAAGAGCTAGAGATTGGTCCTCACTCAAAACCAGAGTAGCCGTGGGCCTGAGAAACTATAAGTGGAGACCTCGAGGACGCTACTTCCAAGACCATCCGTGCGTGATGAAGAACCGCATCCTGCTCGAGGTGATCCTGCTTTGGACTGAACAAGGCGGATCTAGGCGGGAGGGTCAATAGATATCCCTGGAAGCAGGCAGCAGTGCTACTGGCATGAGCCAAAGACGGTAGGAGTTAGCTGGGTCCTGACCAGAAAATCAATTGCGAGGAAACGAACCTTACAAATGATGCAGAAGTCGAAGATGCTGGCCGAAAGGTGCACAAAGTCCCCTGGCATTTTTTACAAAGATCAACAAAAACTGGACATCACGTATTACTTCCCAAAATGGGAAGAATGCAGAAGAAGAATAAATTTTTATAACGAAACCTTTAGAAAAAAAAATTTAAATGTAAGTAGGAAATATTTTCTATAAAATAATAAACTAACTTAGATCAAAGGTAATTATAATCTATTTAATGAATGAATTTTGGGAAATTTCCATTTATATCATTCTCTAAAATTAAACAAAACTCTGTTTAATGAGTATTCTGAAAAGTATGATTCCACAACTAAAATAAAAACCATAAAAAAAAATCTTGTTTCAGTTTTAACACCATGAAATGATATATAATTAATATTTCAAGCAGAGCACTTTAATAATATATAATTATTATATATTATTTAAATAATATATAATTAACAAATAATAAAATAAAATGTATTTAAATGAATAAAGTATAATGGCAATACCTATTTCTATAGAAAAGGTTGACAGAAAAACAAAAAAAAAAATTATTCACACATCAAAAATAGGCCTTGGTCAACAACACACTTTGATAAACCGCCTCAAACAATGGCAAAAATTCATACAGCATGTCTCTCTTTGGCTCTATCTTTTTCTTATCAGTATAAATCATTATTTGTTTTTTTTTATTTCAAAGTGTATAATGATTGATAACCATTTTATAAAGTTTTACATAGAGATTGGCAATCTAGACATACTTTATTTAAAATCTCATGTAAATGATTTTGCAAGTCATCCTTATCTAGTAACATCTTATTCTAAAAATAGCCAAGGTCTCACAATATATATAATTATGCACCATCAACAACACAGATTAAATAAATAAAAAGGGGTTATTTTAGTAATAAATCTACACAAAAATATTTAATATTTTTAGACGTTTTTAAATTGAAAAACATTACTAGTTTATAAGATTCACAAACAAATGAAAAGCTTAACACTTGAAGTTTAAAACATATTCTAATTGAGGCTATAAATCTGGCAGTTTATACCGCTTAAAGCAAAGAGTACACTGTACTAAACAACTTACCTCGCTGGAGAGATGGTGAAACTTGCTGGAAAAACAATATTCTTGTGCATTCGATTATATTATATCGATTATTAAACTCAAAACGATAAAATACATATATTGTCAATCGTTTATGTATGTACGGGAAATAAGATGCAACATCAATGAGTGTTGATATATTTCAAATTGTCTGGGAGCCCGTGGAAAAAAATGTGTCATATTTCATACTAAGCTTTTGTTATAAATTGATGATATCCACATTCCTGATGAGAAAAATGAACGTCTGAAAGCATATAGCCGCTGGAATACAAAATGAATGTCATTTGAAGGTAAATAGAGAACCTACATAGGTTGTAAGAGTATATATAGAGAGGATTTATAGATATATTAAGCTTCTAACTCTTTCAATTTATAGTATTTAAAGTCTTAAGACATTAAATAATAGTCAGTAACCCCATTCCCGTGGGTTTCAAGTCGAAAAATTGAATTTACGATTCAAACAGTTTACTTTTTTCGGTTTTTCGCTTATATCAGTGAAACTATGCGTTCTATCTATAATAATGTCATATATGAAATTAAAGCTGATAAAATTTGCAATAGAAATTGTTATATTAGTTTTTTTCGCTATATTCTATAGTTTCTGTGATATCCGTCCTCGAAATTCACTAATTTCGAAAAACAAATTGTTTGTATCGTATTTTTATCATTATAATACCCGCCAACTCTTTATTTTTTTCATTTAAAGAAAAAGTCATGTAGAAGAAAGTTGTTTAATATTAAATTTTTTTAAAGAATATATATTACTTTACTATCTTATCTTCAACCATTCAAAAACTAGATCAATTATAACTTAATGGTTAAACTCCGGAACTTAACAGAAAAAATTACTTTTCGTAATAATCGTTATCGCACAGCTCTTAATCTGTATGTAAGACAATATATTCAGATGTGTGTTGTATTATATACAGATTAAGAGTACTGTCTTTGTGTAGAGCTGTGTATATTTTGCTCTAAATTCAAATAACTATTATGTAACTAGGTAAAAACTTTATAGTTATACAAACTGTTATTTATTTATAGACGTTTATTCCTCCAACGTTTTACTTAACTTTACTGTCAAACCTAAAATATTGCTTTTTCCGCGTGAAAATAGAGACAGAATGTACTGCCATCAAGCAAATAAGAGCTGGAGTACCTCAGGGCAGTGTCTTGGGTCCTTCACGTTTCAATATTTATTGTTCGAACCTCCCACAACATTCAGAAACACTGTTGGCTACATGACTCTGCAATGTTAAAATCTAACAAGGATGCAGCTAATGCTTCTCAGGTACTACAAGAACACCTAGGATACATAGCTTATTGGGCTAAAAGATGGAGGTTAACAATTAACGGATTTAAGAGTCAATTCGTTCCATTTACACTTCGGCACGACTCTTGTTTTCAAGTATTCTTTAATAATATCGCTATACCGCATTAAAAAACTGTACGATATTTGGATCTCTACTTTGATAAACGACAGACATGGACGTACCACATAAAACAAAATGAAAATAACTTAATCAGCGGTACGGAATTGTTTCTAGGCTACTTGACAGAGATTCTAAATTATCGGTGACTAATAAATTAACTATTTACAAATTTCCCATCAAACCACTTTGGACAATGATATCAAGCTATGGGGAACAGCAAAAACATCAAATTTAAAAATAATTCAGTCAAAAGTCCTCCGGAAAATTGTAAACGCACTCTTTTATGTTTCAAACCTTACGTTACACACTGATCTTGACACCCATTTCATCACGGCAACTGACACAGACCGCTTAAATAATTTTCATGACAGATTGACTCTAAATTCACTACTGGGTCTTTAAAAGATGATTTACATAGTGTATTTTCTGATTTAATGAATTTCTGGTACATCCAGTGCATTAAGTAACACATTTTTTAAAAAATAAAGCATAAAAGCAGCTTTGGGCTTAAAATCGAAAATGTAGCAGTTTAACCAAGAGCAAATGTTGTTGAAAAGAGGCTCTGTTGATTTGGGGAGAACTGAGACGTACCAAAATGTTTTTCCAAGAGATTTCCACCAAAGTACACTACTGAGTTGCTAGTTAAATCTTTCCACAATCAAGCGAGCATTGTTTTCTTAAATATTTCTTTAAATTTCCATAGATTGAATTTAGGTAAATTTTGTTTGCATTACAGCGATAAATCTTAAATTACCATGTTATTACAAAGCATTATTTTTAACAACCTTTACAAAATAATTATTAATTTATCCATTTACAATCCTCCCTACCACTAAACTAATCAGTATAAATATAGGACCACCGGAGATCCCAGTACCAGTCATCGACCAGTTTCAGCACCATGAAGGTAGTAGTATTTCTCTGCTTGGTAGGAGTGAGCCTCGTTGTGGCGGAGGTATACCCATTAAATTATTTGTTATTTCATAAGACGATATATGATGTATTTTATTTTATATTTTGACAACATGATTCTAAGGTCTTCGATTATTGTTATTATATTAAATTATGTAATATGCATTTTCACTTAAACATCGTTTTATTTTTTAGAAAAATCAAGGAATTTTATTTTAAATCAAGTTCTAGAATCTTTACTTACCACTAGCTAGGACATGTTAAGACTCCGGCTGAGAAAAATAAATTAGCTGTGACCCGTTAAACGAATTTTAAATACCAAAGCGAACTGTTAAGAACAGAAGTGAGGATACAAAACACTCTTTACATACATGATTCTCACCATGGATCCTTATCCTTCACAAGAAAATCTATTGCTTCTCCTTTCGTAGAAAAGATGGAAATTAATATAAAATTATAAGAATTTTAGTTAAGTTTTTCCTTACTGCTTGGTTTGAAAATTCTTCTGTGTAAAAATCTCACGAAATTCGTATCCTTCCGGATATACAGGATGTTTCATAATTGCACGGCACTATTTTAAGTATGTGTTTACTAACACAAAGTAAACAAAAAAGTTCATGTTAACATTTATCTCAAATTCATTTATTAAAGTGATATCAAAGATTAAATATTTATTATTTATTATTACTATTTATTTATTGTTATTACAACATTTAGAATAACTGTTCAATGGGGCCTCCGTTTTCACTGAGATCAATCTGAAATGGTTAATTGTTTCAAATAAAAAAAATAAATAAAATTTGTTTAGAGGAAGCTAATATTGAAAATTAGTCATTGTAGCCCTGTTAGAGAACATCAATGAGAATAAAACCTAAATAATATTAAAAAATGCTTAATTTTATACTGATGTAATGAATTTAATCAAAATCGTTAGAGAAAATAGTATTTTAATAGTAGTAATTTCATCGATGATATAAAGTGGCACTTTCGGTTAGCCTATGTTTATGAAAACATTGCTGTAACATCTCAGATATATACAAACCTTACATATGCAATTTTAGTTTAATGCGAATTTTCTTTTTTGAGCTAGATCTGTCACATACATACAGACACCCGCACGTACACACACAGACCATCTTGTGGAACTTGGTTATTTGGACAAACTCAAAACATGTATTTCCGTTGAAAACACAGATTCGAAAATTTTCACGATCACAACATTGTCCTTTACTATATATTTCATATATATTTAAGTAAAAGTAACAATAAATTACCTGCAATTTACAATGAATAGCACGGTGCCCATAACTCAAGACATAACCTATAAATATGCCCTCTGTTGAAAAAAAAGTTGGAAACCTCTTCCTTAGCATAACTAATAACAATGTTTACAAGGATCATTCATCATTCATTTAAAATTTATCATTAATTTAAAATTTGTGCTGGCTGATTAAGCATGATAACACATTAACCGTTTACCAAACTGCATGAATATTCCAGATCATTTTACTAAATGTTAAATACTTCTACTATTTTTTTTTCCAGAATACCGATGGGACAAGCCACCGTATCACAGTACCAAAATATAAAATCCCATCACCAACTAACTGCGATATTCCTGAATCTATCCGTGAACATCAACCATTAATCACGAAAAAGGTATATAAAATATAAACACACATGAAAAACAGGTAACTTTATTTTCATATATACAATGCATCAAGAACAAGTTTAAGTAATAATAGTAATAATAAAGTAAGATGTAATAAAGGGAAAATAATTACCGAGTGCAGAAAAATTGAAATACCTAGGCTCAACAATAACCTTAATGAATAACCAACGTGCAGAAATAGACCAGCTTATAACTAGCTCAAACAGAGCTTTCTTCTCTCTTTCAAAGATATTGAAATCCTGAAATATCTCAAACTAAGGATATAAAATGCTATGATAAAGCCAGCTGTGAGACCTGAACGCTAACCAGCACCCTAGAAAAATGTGTTAAAAGATTTGAGAGCAAATCCTCCGCAAGATAACCGGAGCTATCTGGGATCGGAGTACTAACACATGAAGAAGAAAGACTAATGAAGAACTGCACACAGAAAATGATCAATCAATATCTCATGATATGAAGGCACGGAGGTTAAGATGGGTGGGACATGTAGCTCGTAGCAATCCATCTGGAAGCCTCTATGTAACAATGAATGCCTCAATAGAAGACAAAAGACCATGTGGAAGTCCAAAAAGATGGATAGATATAATTAACAAAGATGCAATAGATCTGCGTGCAGATAAATGGAAAGAAATAACCAAAGACAAGCAGAGAGGGAGCAGGCTTATTAAGACAGTTAAAGATCTACGTAGTCTGTGATGCCAACAGATTTAACAAAAAAAAAAAATGATCATGGAGTACTATGGTTGATTATGAAGAAATATATTCACAATTCACAATGTACTATGAACTATCTTTTCTAGATCATCTTAATTACTTCAGAAATAAAGAATGAGTTGAAAGAGATTTTCATAGATAATATGCAATCATAATAATTGCATTTTTTTATTCTTTAATTAAATTCATCTTGATGATTGAATGAATGAAACATATTTTTATTCTGGGGCTAAATTCCCATAAGAATAATGACAAACTTCAAAAAATATGTACATTTGTCTGGCATATAGAAATAAAACAAATATAAAAAAATAATAAATAAAATGGTATTTGATATTTAGCATTTAATAGGCAATTGTAATTACAAAATTTGAAAAGTCTTACATGGTTGTGGGTGATTGAATGTGAAGTAGGTGGTGGAAAAGGAGTTGTTAGAAGGACTTTAATAGTTTGTAACATGTAGTTTTTGTCCTCTCAAGCAAACATTAAGTTAATGATGCATAAATCTTCCCTAATTCTTATTCCCATTTTCCCGCATTATATTTTTGACCAAATGAAAATTAAAAAAACATCTGCTAAGCAAGGTCAGTTTAGCTTCCTCACCGTTTTCATTAGATAAAATATATTTATATTACAAGATATACATTTTTTCGTAAGAGAATAATATGTATGGAAGAAGCTGATTCTAATATAGTTACCCTTCAACATTCGCGAGTTTGATATCCACGTATTTCGTTTATTAGCTAATATTAAAATGCGAAAGAGTACCGTATTTGAAGATTCCATATTGATTATTTTTAGTTTAAAAAAAATCCAATGCATACTGAACATGCAGTTGACTATATCAGTAGTCAGTTTTTACATACGACCTTTTGCACTAATAACAGTGATACATATTCAATAGGTACGTTTTCACTCGTAAAATGGATGAAACTAGAAAATCCATAGGAAAAATTCAACTTGTTGTTTGTTCGGAGTTAATGAGACCAATACTTTTCTTCAGTCAGAAAAAAACTAATTAAGCTTGAATATAAAAATATGGATGAAGTTAACAGAACTTCGATAATTAAGGAGAACGTCGAGACCAAGAGGAACTGGTTGATGAACTTCAATGGAAATAAACACAACCACAAATAATATCTCTTTTTTTTATTTTTTATTACAAATTTAGAGTGAATATTACACGAAATCTAAGTAACGTCAGTAAGTGTCATGCCAGTAACGTTTGAAATCGACCAAACAGTACAGTATCAATTATTTTTTTTAATTAAAACCTAAAATTTTATCACCCCATAACAATATTGTAATAACCTAATTCCCACTCCATATGTTTTTAGGGACACCCAAGCGTTCGCATGTTTCTTGTTGGTACACCGGCAATTCCTTCTTGGTGTTTTTCTTTTTCAAGTCCTCAGAACCAAAAACGCTCCCTACATCTTAGAACTCCTTACTCTACGCTCTTCTATCCACTCTCTCAACACCAGATCTCAACTTATAGATTTATATATCTCCTCCCATAAAACCACTTCCTTCAGTAGATTCTTCGTCATTCGTGCTACCTCCGTATGGAACTTCTTAGCCATCTCCATACGTCAAACCATGTCCATAAACTCCTTCAAACAACTCCTATTCCACAATCTACTACAAATTCAAACTTCCACAAGCTTGTAAAAAATTTTGGGTTACATAATTAGGTTGGTAACCATCAGTTAATTGATACATTATAGGCTCCATAATTCTTCTTAAAATCTTTCTTTCGAATCTCAAATGAGCTGATTCTTGTGCTTTCGTCATCGTCCATTATACAGATGAATAGGTAAGGACCGGCCTGATCATGGTCTTATAGATAAGTATCTTGGTGGTCCGAGAGAGAAATTTATTTTTAGATGCTTCTGTAGCCCATAATCGCGTCTGTCTCTGGTTGCATATTATTAGTTGATAATTTTTGATTGGAATGAAAAATACAGTTTTTGTTTTTCCTGAAATTTTGTGAATTGTGATTAAATTACAATTCGGAAATAAATTACTTAATTTTTTTTTTCTCCAGGAAATCGAAAAATCTGGAGATGGTGTTATTAATCAAATGGGATCGCCGCTAACAATATACGACATTCTGAACAATGTAATATTGAAACCATATATTGAAAAGTATACAGTACAAAATAAAGTATATGACGGATAGAAAAAATCGTATAAATGTAAATTTGATTTATTTATTATGAAATTATATATACTTTGGTTACACATAAAATTTGAATATTTAAATCAGTAAATATCAATTCTGTATTCAGAAAGATATATTGAAATGTATTCATTTTATCTATTTGTATTCCATTCTGATTCCTTATTCACATTTATTTAGTCATATTATGATTTTTTACTGTTGATTGGTCCTTAAGCTATTAAATTGTAATTGAAAATTCATTAAAGTTTCTTTTAACTTAATATAAATATTCAACATCGTTTCAACGTCAATATTGGCTAAATTATACCAAATTTCTTGTCTGTCTAGATTTCTTGTCTTTCGTAGTGTTTCCCAAAATCTCTACAAGAACAAGACCAAGGCCGCCTAACTATTGCAAGACCAAGACTAAGATTGATAAAAAAAATATCATATTTGTGAATAAAAATTTAGGCAAAATATTCACTAACACTTGACAATTTTAGTTACTATTTGTAAAGAATTTGTATAAGCAATATATTTTACGGCATTCAATGACATAGGTGGTATTTAGAAGAGAAGTTAGTAACCGTCATCATTTCGAACCGGGCTAGCTCTATTAATTCGATATGAATTTGTCTAACCATTGAAAATTCATCCAAAAAAATGGAACAGTTCATCCTATACTAATAGGTTACAGAGTATACAATCCTGTCAAGCCATGGGATGTAATTCAAATAATGGAGTTCACACCTGAGCTTGTAATAAGCTAATAGGTTACTGCAAGACTGTTATGATACAAGAACAAGACCAAGAACAATATTTAGTGCGCAAGACCAAGACGAATCTTGTTCTCGCATTTGGGCAACTATACTCTTTCGTCGAACTTTCCTTCAAAAAGGAACACTTTAATTAAACTCGATGTGAGAGGAAAATTTTCACACTAGATGGCAAAAGGCAGTTGATACTGAAGGTAATTCCATCACTGGTTAATAATAAAAACTATTGTGAAATTTATGTATTTGATTTTAATACTAGAAAATGACATTACGCCCTAATATAAGAGCCGTACCTAGATATTTTTTATTTCTTAAAGATATCAAAAAGTTTCTTTCTATGTTATCCGGAATATCCAAAAGATATTAAAGTCATTCTTCTCTATTTAATTTTTCAAAAGATAATTAGTTTGGCGGTTAAAATCATACATAACAATATTTTAATTTTTTATTTATGGATATTTCCTTCAAAAACAGAAGTTTTTCTCAGCCAAACTCCTCCCTTAGTCAGGTCCTCAACTTCTCCGTGTCCATCGCTTCCTCCTCCGTCAGCCCTCGGCCCGCCATACTCTCAGCCACAATAACTCTCCACCTGACACGAAGTCTTCTTATCTTTCTCTTATACTCGGTCTCCCCCTAAAATGCCGTATAATAGTGTTCAAGTTCGTTATTTTTTATCAACCTATTCTCCTTTTTGATTTTTAATATTTTTTTTATTTTATTTTTTTTTAAATATGTGACTAACTTTTTTACTCTCTAAATATTTTAAAAAACTCGTCTTATATCTTTTTAGTTCAGTAAAAGAAGAAATTTGTTGGCATTTTGATCAATAAATTGATTTAGTGAAGTGGATTTCACAGATCAGTAGCGATCTTCCATGTACTCTAAGGCTAGCGACCTTCGGAGTGTTAAATTTTCTCTAAGCTCAATGAAAACTAAGGTCCTGAAAAATACACTTTATGTTATGCTAAAAATTATATCCTCAATGCTCCTTACTTTGTCACAAACAAAATAATCCATAAAGATCTGAATGTTCCATATGTTTCCGATTCGACCCAATCCAGATACCTATCCTTCCATAATAAACTTCATAACCATCCGAATACTCTTGTTTCTAACCTAGCTTCCTCTTCGATTCCTTATAACCCTCCTAGGCGTCTGAAAAGAAGATGGTCTTGTGATCTCCTCATGTAGACATATTATTAGAGTGCTGCCATTGGGTAGTTTCTCAACAAGCGTGTTTCATGTGATTATATTCCTCTGTACACTTGATGTATTTATTTATACTAATACAGTTGTAAATATCATAATAAAAGTTAAAAAATTATGTAGGTACTCTATGAAATTAAAAAAATTAAAGAATAATCCAACACGTATCATAATTCATGAGGTAGTACAAAACTAATATTGTAGTAAAATTATTACAATTAGATTCAGGATCTATCCTGACAAGATCCTATAGCTCCTGCAGGTCGCTGAAGTCCTGTTACTGATCGGTCTTTTCCAACCTGTTCGTATCGTTTTCGATTATGCGAGATGAAACTTGAATAATATAAATGGTTAATGATTTTTTTAAACAATTTGTTTAAAACATATTTATATTGCGTCATTCAGAGCTTCTGCTCCGCAATATGTCATATTGATTGCGTAATTCAAGCCACCGATTATTAAAAAGCCATACAACAAATACGATCACGGTGACGTCAATCTGACTGTTGAGACATCAGAGATTGATGTCATTCAACTGTTTCTGTGTTAAGTTCGTCATAGCAATTATTGGAGTGGTCATGCAATCTCTTGCTTCTTCTTGCACTCCTGATATCACCACTGCACCGTCCACACTAGCGCTTCAAGTCCACCAACTACACAAATCGAGTCATCAAGTTTGGAATCCACTTCATCACGATCAGTTTTTGGTTTTTTTAAGTATATAAAAAGCAAACTAAAAAAACAACTAAGGAATGTTATAAAATAAGGCTGTATTTATTTCTTCACCATATTTATTTCAATTTACATAGCCACGTTTCGGCCGGTAAGCCATCTTCAAACCATCTATAACTTAATGGCTTGAAATTAAGATAAACACCATTAATTTTATATTTTGACGTAATTCTACGTCTTCCTTGTATTTCCTTGTAAAGGTTCCAGGTTCGAACCCCGGCTCATGGCAGAAAATTTATTTATCTGTTTCATTGGCCGTGGGGCGACCCAGGGTCGAGAGACCCTCCTGGGGCACACCCAGCCTCTATAAAGTGGGTACCTTTAATTAAATAATTAATTAAGGGGGAAAACCTGGCGGTTGAGTGTGATCTCGGTCAAATCACCTCAACCGTTGACCTAGAAACAGTGCTTTCCCTAAATAGTACTGAACCCCAGACCCTTTATGGGTTGTAGTGGTACAGGTTTTTTTTTTTTTTTTTTTTTTTTTTTTAATTCTACACTTTATGATGGCGTTATTGGTCCTATTTAATTTAATATTTTATGAATTATAACTCTAATTACTTTAAGTCAATTTTTTAAATTAGTAATTAACACTACCAGTTAATTTGTAAATTAACAATAACACTAGAAAGATGATCTTACCTTGATATTTTTAGATTTGATAAAAAAAGCAACCTCATTCTATCTTGTGTTATTTTTAATTTACAAATTAACTGGTAGTATTAGTTACAAATGAAAAAAAATTGACTTAACCTAATTAGAGTTGTAATTCATAAAATATTAAATTAAATAGAACCAATACCACCTTCATAGAGTTTAAAATTACATCAAAATATAAAATTAATGGTGTTTATCTTATAGATGACTTGAAGACGGCTTACCGGCCGAAACGTGGCTATGTAAATTGAAATAAATATGGTGAAGAAATAAATACAGCCTTATTTTATAACATTCCTTAGTTGATTTTTTAGTTTGCTTTTTATATACTTAAAAAAACAAAAAACTGTGTTTATCTTATAGATGGTTTGAAGATGGCTTACCGGCCGAAACGTAGCTATGTAAATTGAAATAATTATGGTGAAGAAATAAACACAGTCTTATTTTATAATATTAGAAAATTTTCACCTAAAACAAGCACTAAGGAGTTTGCTTTTGACCACACGAAAGATGTGAAAAAATCAACAAGGCGAGATTAATAATATGAAAAATAATTTATAAATAATAGCTCATTATAAAGATGATGAAATGCTGAATAATTCCCTTGTTTACAGTATGCAGGTGCGCTCTTTAGTTTCTGAGATATTTTAATCCATATCTTCAATAAAATTAGTTATCATTTGGTTTTCGGTACTATTTTTTGGCTTTTAGCTTCTGAAACAGCGTCGTGTTCAGATATAATTTTGAACATCTCATTACAAAGAGGATGAAATTCATATAAGTCATATATTTTAATTAATATGCAAAAACAGCGTGACACATCGGAGATCTGACATTTTAACTGAGAAACGCGAATAATAATTCAATTTTTTTTTTATTTTTATTAATTTTATTTCGTGTTGAAATTTCGGCCTAATTTTAAAGCCTACATAATAGTATATTATAGAATACATAGATGAAATAAAAAACCAACAATATAAAATTGTTATAACCTAATAATTACAATTATAACCTAATAATATAAAAAGATTAACGAAATATATAAATTTAATAAATAAATTGAGTCGTTTATTTATGAAGTGATTCCTAATAATCATTGATAATTTTACAGAAAACATCAAAAACTTCATTATATATTATAATTGTAACATTGAAACCGATATTTATTAAGAAATAAATTAATAAATTCTTTATTTGAAGTACATATTTCTAAATATCACTGGTTACTACAATAATAATTAATAAACATTGAAATTTAAGTAAGGTCTCTTTTGGAAAGAATTTAAGTTCAAGACCTACTTTTGAAAAAAAAAATTGATTTTGATTTTGTGTTGGCTTTTTAATTTTAATTTAATGAATGTAATTTTTTTTATCAAGTTAATGTAGAGTAAGTAATAAGCAGTATTTTAACAGATTTTTTTTTTATAAATTATGTTTAAATCAAAAGTTTCAAACATTAATTTAATTTTATGTAAAATATTTAAGAAGGTAACAACAGCAAGCAGTAAAAAAAATAAATACATAAAATAACTAAATATGTTAATATTATGGAAGTTTAATATTAATCTTTAATGGAATATTAATGGAATATTAATCTTTAATATAAATTAAATTAACACATTAAATATAAATTAGTTAGATTAAAATATATAATAATAATAATACACACATATATATATAATATATATATATATATATATATATATATATATATATATATATATATATATATATATATATATATTTAGGTATAAAATAACATACGAGAAAGGCCCGAAAGAAAAAGAAAGTGGAAACAGGTTGGTGGTGAACTCTTTGTATCAGGAGAGCAGGAGTTTGAAGGAGGTGCTTACATCCCACATTACGGAGGACTGTTGCCGCTGGTTAGTGTTGCCCAAAATCGGTCT